CAGCAAAATTCAACTGAAGGATGGAGAAGGGGCTTAAAACTTGAGAAAAAAATTGAGCACATGCGAGCAGAAGTGTAAAGCTTGGCAAACTGAACAGCTCATGCAGAGAACTGTAAGACCAAGTACTTGAGATCATTCCAAACGCTACTGTAAGGATAAAGGAGAAACATGACACATCTGGAAGAAAAGAAATAAAGGTCTTCCCTGCAGATTTAACAGTTTCTTAAATACTAAGGTAAGGGAATGTTGCCTCCTTGTGGACGTTCTTGATCTGGTTAACTGGCCAGTACAACCTCGAATACAAGGGCATTTTTCTTCTTTTTTTTTGTCATTATAAAGTGGCAAACCAAACAAACCACTTTCCAAACCATCCTTAACTCCATTCATAAATATTACTAAATTTGTGTTTCAAAGTCACACAAAAGCTGAAACACAACACAGAGCACCTACATATTTGACAATGTGAATCTGAATGCCTGAGAGCACCGTTCCATCAGGGCAAACCTTGTGCTTGTCTTTGAACACACACATCAGCAGGCCTGAGCATGAGTGCAAGTGCTTGTCAAACCAAGGCCTAACCCCTGCCTCATCCCTGGAAGTGTTCAAGACCAGGCTGGGTCTAGTGGAAGGTATCCCTGCCCATAGCAGTGGGGTGGGACTGGATGAACTTTAAGGTCCCTTCCAAACAAAACCATCTGTGATTCTGTGATAATCTAAGAGATTAGAACACATTTTTCAATCAATTACACATAAAATACAAATTACTTAATTAACTCCAAGAATAGCACAGAATGCAGTTAATTTTTCACCAGAAAGCACGACAAGGATTCACCCAAAAACCACATCAATAGCAAACTGCAAGGATAAAACTAAATGTGATTTAATCATTCCACATTGCTCACTCGGCTGCCAGCATTCCCTTGGAGTTTAGTATCTGATTCCTTAACCTGTTGAACAACTTGCCAAAAACCTTAAAGAGAAACATTAACTAAAATGTCAGGTTTTATTGGACTATTCACATCACTTCATGGCATTTCCCAAGAACTCTCAGCCCTTAAACCAAAAAAAAGTCTGATTTTATTTAAGAAGTCCAACTCCACAGCACTTATTAGGAAAGCCCTCACACATTACTTGAGGAAACTTACTTTAGAGATTAATGCCTTGGCTTCTTCTATTGTCTTCTTTATAACTTGCTGCATTTTTTTATTTGGAGCTAAAAGTAAGAAACATATTTCTTAGTCTATGCTTACTGTAAAGAAACCAAGTACATATCCTGACCAGACTCCACTGTGAGCAATGAAACAGTATTATATCTTAAAGCAGGAGTTATATAATACATCCCTGTATTTCTTACTAACTTAAGAAATAAGCAGTATTTTTCATGGGACAAACTTACTTTTCCCATCTCAAATGTGACTGGTATTTGCCCCATCCCTGGAAGTGTTCCAGGCAAGGCTGGACGGGGCTTGGAGCAATGTGGTCCAGTGGAAGGTGTCCTTGCCCATGGCAGGGGAGTGGAAGTGCATGAGCTTTAACATCCTTTCCAACCCAAACTATTCTGTGATTCCATGATTCTATGATCTGGAACTTCATTTGGGACAAAGGTCCTCAGCAGAAAGCAACAACCATAATCCCACACCCTCCACAACAAACCAAGTCTCCTTCCCTAATGGACTATTGTGGGATGTACTGGCAGACATACTTTAACTGGGCATAACAGCTTGCAGCTTTCTGACTTGTCTTTTCTAATTGAAATCTCAATCTAACAACAAAGACAGTTTGACAAATACACTGTACATTTCTTATCACAGTTATCTATTTCAGTTGATATAAAAAGCCTGTCCTCAAAAACAAAAATCCAGCTAAAGGACACTCATTCCCAGCTTATGTCCCACTTGGGTGCATCATTTGATGGCACTTGGTTTGGCTTACATATACACACTGTTCAATTTTCTAACTTTGTCAATATCAGAAGGCTGTCCTCCCACTTACAAAAACACGCTCTGTGAATCTGAATCTGAGTCAATGAGAAAAAACGAGAAATATTAGAAAAATAACCTGTTAATGTATCTTGGAGTCCCCAGGGAAACCCAGTTCTCAAGTGTACATTTACAAACAGGGTGAGTAAACTAAACTGGAACAGTCAAACTTGCTCCTGGTGATTGTTTGTGTGCTGAAGATAAATACTGCTCTTTAGGCTTGTTAATCATCATTACCCCAGATTCTAACCCAAGACAGAATTCCTGTGTGTGGAACTTATAGTTTGACTACCTCATTCCAGAACTAGGGATTTGTTGCTCCTTGGATTGGCTGTGTCTGAAGAGAAAGAAACAAGCATAGAACATAAGACTTACCAAATCCATTTCTTCGGCCCATTTCATCCTTCCTGAAGATGCTTCCACCACTTGGGACACACTTCTCTGCCCACTCATCCTTTAACTTCAGCTCTTCAATCTGCTCATCTGTCAGTCCTTGCATATTGTAAGGTAAGGAAATACCATGCTCTGCCAATTCCTCCATCTCTTCAGAGTGTTTAGAGAACAAGATTAAAAGTCTCTGTTACTATAGTCCATTTACAAAAGCTTTTCACATGACGTACATGCAGCCAAAAGTTGCCCCTAGCTTTTCGTTTATAAGCAGGTAAACATAGGGAATAAACAATAAGGGATATAAAAACACATATATAGATACGGATGGTGTAATTATGTTGAAATTTATACATCTTACATAGCCATAAAACAATGTAATAAATTACACGTGCAGGAATACAAACCGCATGGTACTTAGTGGCCATAAACCTTTTCCTTTTGGTATTTCCCTGGTCAGATTTTTTAAATTTCAGAGCAGTGTCAGTATGGCCTCAGTCACCCCACAAACACAGTGGCTGTTGCACAGCAGGTGTGGGTGGGCTGCACCCTCAGGTCAGGCTTACCTGACAGGAATCTCTGCTCTGACCGCCCCACGGTAGGACAGGACATATTTTTTAAAGCAGCCTCAGAAGTGAACTCGGCACTAATTCAGACATGTCACTGACGTCATTGCATGGCAGGAGATGCTGGTGGTGGCCAGTATAACCTCACACACACGTTGGGGCACTGCTGCTCCCGAGGGAGCACTTCACAGTGCCCTCCACAGAAGGAGGACTTTGGAAAGGGCCTAGAGTAACAGGACAAGGGAGAACGTCTTCCAACTGCCACAGGGCAGGGTTAGATGGGACACTGAGGGGAAATGCTTCCCTGTGAGGGTGCTGAGGCCCCTGGCACAGGTTGCCTAGAGATGCTGTGGCTGATCCTAGAACTCTGGAAGTGTCGAAGGACAGGTTGGACAGGGCTTGGAGCAACCTCGTCTAGCGGAAGGCGTCCCTGCCCACGGCAGGGGGTGGGACTTCGAAAGCAATGAGGTCCCTCCCAAACCAGACCATTCCGCGATTCCCTGATTTAAGCAGCCACCACCGGCACACGCAGCCGGAGAGTTTCCAGCGCTTTGCGGTGCCCTCACTAAACACCAAAGGCGGGAATTCGCACACGACCCCGTGAAGAGCGGAGGCGGCGCGTTCCCGCTGCCCGGGCGGTCGCCGGGAGCCGAGCGGTACCTGAGCACAGGCGCTGCACCTTCAGCCGCCCATTGTGGATGCGGGCGGCGAGCGCCGTCAGCTCGGCCAGGCGGGCGCTGCCCGGCGCCTCCAGCAGAAACTGGCTCTCACCGCCGCGTTTGACGTGCAGCCGCACCATGGCCGGGCCGGGGCGGCCCCTCAGCAACGGAGCCGAATCCCTGGATACCGACGGCAGGGAGGGAACGCGGGCACTGGCCGCGCCCGCCGCTTCGGGAGGCCCTGGGAGCGTGGGGTGGGGGGCTGCTGCCGCCCCCACCGGTAGCACCGGGATCCTTCGGGAGCCGGCCGGGACGCTCCGGTCCCGCTGCAACGGCGCCTCCGCCGGTGCCGCCACAGCTTCCACTTCCGGGCACCCGCGAAAGCACGGAGCCGCTTAAAGGGCCCGCGCGCCCTGCCCGGTGTCGGAAACCACAGAACGTCTTACTAATTGCAGGTAAGGAGTTTAATCAACTTTTAAATTGATTGTTCGAATTAATCATCGCCTATATGTCTATTAGTGATAAACAGTGGACTATTCTTAAATTATTCTCAGCCAGTATTTAGCAAAGTTGTTACAAGCTACTTCTGTGGGGATAGCTTGAGAAAAGTCCTGAAACATTCAGTTTTGATAAACTAACTCTGATATGTCCAATAAACAAAGCCCGGAAGAGAAAGAGGGACTGGGGTGGTTGGACATGTAGAATGGAAAATTTATGGATCAAAAAGACACTATGCAGAAAATACCAGATAAAAATTCAGTATATGCACTGGAAATTCCCTACTAAAGGGAAAGATTTAACAAGACTAGAAATATGGACTAATTAGCGTAAGAAGTGAGAAATCAATAACCAATAAATGTCAGTATACTAATAATTAAAGGTAATGATGTAATCTAGAACCGATGAATGTTAATGTCTTTGTTTCCTAAAAATGTATAAATAAGTGAAAAATTTGTGTATCGGTATCTGTGTGGAGGATGGAGTTTTGTCAGCCACACAGCCCCTAGCCAAGAATAAATGAATGCCTAACTGACACTAAAAAGATGGTTGTAGAGGGTTTTATTTATCCTGACGATTTAGGAGGATTGGTAACACGGGGGCACAGAGAGAGAATGACCATCCAGTGGGAATATTTCAGACATACCTGGATGTCCCGGGGAGATACAACCATGGGCAGGTGAGCGGGAGCACCGGGACAGGGAACATGGAGAGTCCAGGGACACGTGAGGAGTGGGTCTCGCCTGCATCCTCTGTGTTTTCAGAACCTCTGCTGTTGCTCATTGCTCCTGTCAACACATGGCAGGGCCTTACTACAGCTCACATATATACATATATATGGACCTTGAAATTTTGGAGCATTCCCTGTGGTCCCCACAGTCCTGTGAAGTGCAGAGGAGCCGCACACCAGGTACAGTTCAGACAGATAGTTTTTAATCACTGCAATTAAATATTCAACAACATACTTATCATGTGACTCCCACTAGCAAAAGTTACCCCCTGAATTTGGTTTGCTAATGTAAGAATATACCAAAACATCAACCACACAGATGTTTGCAGCAACAGCGTAAAAAGAGGTAACACACACTGAAGCACAAGTAGTACCACTGCTGTCCAAATGTACAACTTGAATGACTTGAACAGAAAAAAGCGCAATAGAAAACTCACTATCACTCCTCTAGGCGGCTGCAGCTCGTGGCTAACTAGGGGCTGTCCGAAGGAATAGTGGATTATTTCATGGAGCATGTTGTGAGAGCATCTGATGATTTAAAAAGCGTGCTGCCCTGGGATATTTCACTACTCTAAATATAATCCAACTGTGTTGTTTCACCCTCTGGCTGGCAGACTGCATGGTCTGAAACTGGTAAATACTGCTTTGTATCTCAAAAGCCAAGGGGACTTTTTTCCAGAGGTTGAGGAAAAGCCTGCTGTATCAACTATTTCCAATTTGTGGAAAAAAAAAGTAGTATAGTTAAAATAGTAATGAATAAATGGATGATATGGAACAATTATTCTGAATTAGTGCTAGTGAGTGTATGTCACAATAGGATTTAGTAACTGAAATATACTGACACAGGAGATTAATTGAATGTATTAATATGCAAAGTTTTGTTTCTATTTTGAAAGTAAACTATTTTTGTTGTGCCTTGAATTCAAATATAAGCCTTACAAATGCCCATAGCCTCTGTTATAAATTAAACAGCTTCTAAACAATACTTGTCAACATTCAAATCTCCATAAACTTTGGCAGCTCTTTGGTAAATACTTATAAATATCAACTAACAAAACAGTCAAAAGGGAGGGGGGAGGCTACCAGCAGGAAGCCTCTTCTTGTGAAATTCCACAAAGGAGAACAGAAATGAAAGAGCTCCCTAAGCAAAATCTGTGTCCAGGATTGATAGATTTTAGTGAGACAGTAGCTCACCCTTCTTCTCTTTTTGTCTATTCAAATACTATTACATCGAGATTTTAATAAATTTCAGACCATTTTTGTGCTCTACCATATATACACATTCAAAATTTCTACACAAGTTGAAGTGGCTGTTTATGAGCAGAGTTACGTTTCAGTGCATTTAACAATTATTGCATACAGAATAATCTCAAATGCCTAATTATTCTACTGGATAAATGTAGCAACAAATATAACCTTCTGTATCTCTGACCATCTATCTTTCTGTAAAATCATGAGTTGGTGACACCTTGGGCGCTGGGCAGGGAAAGGGATCTGCAGGGGACCTGTTGCTGGTTGCTCTGGATGGCACAGGGGGTGCAGGTGGCTTTCTTGCTGGCATTGTACAGAAGCAATCAGTAGAACTTTTATTCCAGTCACTGTCAAAGTGAAAGTCTAAACAAAGGAAAGTCTTTTGTTCAGCTCCCAGCAAACCTGGGCATCTAGCTGATTTGGATTTTAACCAGCTCGGCTCCGGGAAAACACTGGCAGATGGCTTTAGCTTCGTGTTAAAGTTCTCATCCGTATCAAACGTCACCCACCCTTTGAGCTGTACGTTTTCTTCCTTGAGAGATCTACTTCGCGAGCAAAATGTATTTTCAGCTGCATCCACAGGAAATAGAGGCTTGCTTGTTTTACAGCTGGGTGGGGGCAGAGGAGGGAATGGCTGGGAAGCAGCAGGTCCTACCAGTACTTGTGAGGTTATCCTGGACCCCCGTGTTTCTGTCCTAAATGGGTTCCCAGCATTAGGAGTTCTTTCAGTGAATGGATTTGAGCAATTCAGCCCAGTAATAAATGGATTTGGAGAGCTGTGCTGATGTTCCTGGGATGAGTGATAGGTTGGAACAGGAGGCATTGCTGGCATGCAATTGACAGTATTCGAATTATCCGCATTTCTTTGCCTTGCTGAAGGCAACTGTATCAACTCCTTTTGGTTTAAGGTTGGAGCGGGTGATGTTCGGACAGATGTCTGCAACTTGGACACGAGCAGCTGAAATGACAGGTCTTCAAAAGGGTCACTGCTGAGCTGGGGTTCAGGGTTAGTGCCGTATGTCCCGTTGGGATTCAGCTGCAAAGAGAACAACATGCTCAGGAATCATGCAGCTGGTCCCAAGTTTTTCCCACTGCTCTCCTTCTCACTTCTCAGCTGAAACTTCAACCCAGTTTTGTTTCAACTAGAATGGAAACAACAGCCTGAACCCCCTGTCTAAAGAAAAGCCTGTAAGTTGTTAAACACCACTCCCCCCTTCTTGGTGGTTAATGCTGCTGGAACCTACTTCCTGCAGATCCCAGTCCCAGCAAAAAACACTAAATGAACTTTGGATAAGAAAATGTTTGGGAAATACGACTGTATTCTAAGCAAGGGATAGCCCCGCACAACTGTGAAATGAAAAGCTCCAGGTTACACTGTTTGGGAGTTTGTGGTACTGATGTTACAAGCAGCATTAAAGCACCACAATGAAAGAAAACATTAGTGTTATTAGTATATGCAGTCAGACATTTCTATGCAGACAAGCATCTGTAAGCATCTCCAGTACTTCCTGTCATGAAAAGGGACAATCACCATTTCATAATTAAAATAACAAGTTATCTTTGGAGAAGACTGTTTCTGGTTTTATACACTGCTTCAAATAACAGTGCAAGGTATTTTTTACCTTGTACAAGCTGTGCAGAAAGGTGGAATATCTACTTTGTTCAGTATGCACACAGACAGAACAGAGTTTGGAGCTTCCCCTTGTCAAATGAGTTAAGCTTAAGTTAAAACCGCTTCTAAGAGTTCAAATGTCACAAAAATATTTTATGATTTTAACAGATAAATTTAATATACCAATTGAATTGACTGTCTATAGTTGAAGTTTCTTGCAGAATAATATTAAAACAAAGGCATTCAGTAACTTAGGAAAAAATGTGAAAAATTGAACTGTAGAAGGAATAGAAATTAAATGCAGCCTGGCAACAGCTGGTTAAATCCTGTGGTCATTTGAAAGTACAAGATCCCAAAGAAACTATGAATCCAAATTGCTCCTTATTCTAAGTAAAAACTTGCTTAGAGTAATTCTGGAACCAAATGTTTTTAAAATTGTAACGGTTTGTTTTACTTTGGGTCACAGTAAGTTCTCTATTCCTTGAGAAATGTGGTATGTGGTGTTTATTTTGAAAAATAATTTGTCAGTGCAATAGCATCAGGATTTATTTGCATCAAAGAGAACATTTACTGGCAACACTGATCTTTTTTTCCCCAAACAGACTGAGAGCAGGTGGCACACCAGTGACTAAGCAATATAGATGAGGGCCCAATTGTTTCATAAAAAGATGATGCTGCAAAATAGTTGCTCTGGGCCTAATAAAATCAGTCTAATTTTAAAATGCACTATGAAAGGAAAAAGCAAATTATGATATGACAGTCAATCCATGAATGCAGACAGGTGGTTTTTAACAGGAATGGAACTGCAGATGTATGAAAACAACATTCATACATCTCTTCTGCTCAAAAATATGGAGACCACATACAAGATTGGTAAATAGTTAGATACCTGTTACCCTGATGGTTGCTCCTGCTTGTGAAAGAGAAACAGATATCAGAGGAAAGACAATTAGGAAGAAAATCCAAGTAACAAAGCAACCTCCTGTTAAAAATATTTTTCAGAAGTTTTCACAAAGTTGTTTTTTTTGAGCTGTGAATACAAACCACAAGTATTTACTACACACTACACTAAATTTTCAATTTCTGTTGTCTTCTACTGTAAGCGCGACCATTAAGAGTCATAAAAAAGACAACTCAAGTCCATTCTAATGATATTTCCATACAGATACTCATTGTGCAGCTGATTGTGCTACTTTTTGGAGACAAATTATAAGAATCTGAGCATGGATGGTCTAATTCTAGTCATCTATTAACATGAAAAGCCCCATAAGCTCTCATTCTGGGAACTATGTCGGTATTCCCTCATCTACAGTAATAGTTTTGCAAGCTGAAAAAAACCATAACACCTCTCATTCTGTGGAACTCTAGGAATCTCCCTTCTTTACAATAAGGAAGATCTATTTACAATAACTAAGTCTCTTTTTCAATGTATGGATTGCATAGAGTCCTGAATATTCACACTGTACTGTGTGAACAATTATTTTTATAAGAACAAATTTAGTTTCTTCAATATCATAATCAAGATTTGCATAGAAGGATGGGCTTAGAATACACTACATCTCAAAAGACCTTGTACTTCTTTAAAGACCGTTCCTCAGAAAACTGTACTTTTTGGTCTAAGTTTCCAAAATGAAAGGCAGTTCACAGGCAAAGAAAGCCATTCAGGAGAAAGAAAGGAAAAGCATTTCAAGATTTTTTTCAGTTTGAATTCAAAAATCAGCTCACTGAAGACTGAATTTGTCTGTTTCACTGTGGTACAAAATAGGTATTAACTATTGTAGCAAAAAAGGGCTTCAGATACAGGCATAAGAAAAAAAACTGAGCAGCACCGAAAACCTGCTTCTGCATTTTTAAACAGTAGTAAGGAACTGTGGCTTTTCCTAGAAATGGTTGGTATTTTTTTATCATAACAGTCTGAAAGATCCCAGAGAACAGAATGTTAATGTTACTGTATGAAAATTCCAAATTACGTGGATAGGTTTCTGTATTTTAACTGACACTGGGAAATGAGGAGAATTCTATTTCTCTTAAGTATTTATTAATATATTGATTTAACCTATTAACTTATTTACCAATATCATCTCCCTTCAATGAATGATCACCAACATAAAGCACCACATCATGCAATAACTATTTAAAACCTGTGCTAGCTACTTACTATACAGATTGTCATGCATGTATCATTATCAAATCTAATTTCTTACATTGAGTGGCTTTCCATACAAAGCTGCCAAATGGCAACAGATTTTAAGACTGAGCTGTCCATTAATTGTAAAGACATTATAAAAAATGCTAAATTCAATGTTTAGTATTTAAGATGTTAGTTATTCATGGACAATACAAAAGCAATTATTATTCCCCTAGAGCCCCGTGACCATTGAATCCAATCTTTGGACCCTTATTTTTGTTTCTGTGCTTGCTTTAAGGGTTCCTCAAAAGCCTGCATCATCCAGTACAAGCTGTGTTAATTTACATAGTGAAAGAAGGTACCTAGAGGGTTTTTTTACTTACTTGCTGCTGGGAGGGAGCAGGTTCAGAAGGCAAACTGTGAGATGAGCGGCTACGAGGTGGTGGCTGGGGGGGCTCCAGGCTTTCCGGGGCACTTGCCTGAGATGGATGAGATGCCACAGGGATCAGGGGCTCCTGCATCCTTAGCACAGGAGTGCTGGGCTGAGCAGGTCCAGCAGCCTGAGGCTTCAGTGGTTCAGGAAGCATTGGTGAGCCTGGAAGTACATTTGCCATGATTTTGATGGTAAAGAATTGTAACAAATCTTAGGGATGGCAGGATGGGGAAGCACCAGAGAGAACTACAGAGAAGGGGCTGTAAGAACAGCAGGTGTTCATGGCAATGGGATGGAAATCACCAAAACTCAGCAGATCTCCATTAAAAATTGTTACTTAAGTTTAAGCTGACAGAGGGCAGGGTTAGATGGGATATCAGGAATTCTTTCCTGTGAGGGTGGGAAGGCCCTGGCACAGGATTCCCAGAGAAGCTGTGCCTGCCTCTGAATCCCTGGAAGTGTCCAAGGCCAGGCTGGATGGGGCCTGGTGGAAGGTGGCCTTACCCATAGGCAGGGCTTGGAATGAAATGATCTCCAAGGTCCCTTCCAACACAAACCATACTATGATTTTACACAAAACACAAACCATGTCACTCCAAAATGTACTTCCGTTATATTGACAAGTATTTTGGAAGTCACTATTATAAAATGTATATTATACGTACAAAGATAAAGGGATTTTTTAAACGGTACATTTAGGAAGTTGCTTTGAGAGTCAGACATGAATGCTATTCCAAACCTCATGATTACAGAAGTACCAATGCATAGAGTTCTGGTGATCAATAGCCAGAATGGGACACACCAGCGTGCTCAGACCAAACACTGCAATCTTTGCACAGTTTATCTGATACCATTAAATCTATGGGTCAAGAGCTCATGTGATCTTGCGATTAGCACCTAAAAACGCAATACTTGTAGATGCTTAACACAAACTGCCAAATGAAATTAGATCCAAGAATCTTAATTCCTAGTGAAAAGTGGAGACATCTGTTGAAAAAAAAGCACTCATACCATGGTATGCTTGACTGAATAGTGACATTTATGTTTAACTTGTAAGGGAAACTTACCCCTTGGTGGCTCAGTTGGCTTGGTCTGAGTCTCAGGTGCTGGTCTTGCCCCCGAAGGACGGACATGGCTTTGTGGGGCACTGATAACTCCAGCTCGAGGAGGAATAGTCTGACAGGAAAGTTGGTAAAAAGGAAGTATTTTAGTTCAACTTTGGATCTGCAGTCATCTACTGCTAAATGATTCGGAATAACCAGGATTCTGTGAAAAATAAATTCTTTGGTAACAGCTGCTCAACTGATTTTTTATGCACATGCAAGAACAAAGAATATATTTTCAAAGCATGATGATGGTTCGATTCAAATCAAAGGGTTTTCACAATGCTTTTCAACTTCATCTAAATATTTACCTTGGCAACAATGCTATAAACAGTTATTGTTTTGCTAGTATTAATAAGATAATTTACCTAAGTCCACGAACTGTAAGCAACAAAACCAACAAGAGCAACTACTTTATTTGGAGGTCTCCTGTTTCTCAACAAATAATATTAATGAAACACACATTCTGTGCCATCTGAAGGCTGAAGTCTTCCTGAAGTTGATGGAACAGAAGTTAATATGCTGGGAATGCAAATTCAAAAGTCTACATCAGTATTTAAAGACACACAGGAAGCTATTCCAGATTACAGCTGAAGCAGAGTAAATTACAAACAACACAGTGAAAGCTGAATAAAAGGCCCTGGGATAAAAATTACAGATATCGGGGGAAAAGGACTCTGAGACAAGAAGGATTGTGAGACAAGTTTGTAAGATTTGTTTCCTGCAAAATGTTGTGTACCAGAGGACATTCTAGAAATGGTTTTCAGAGCAAACTCCATGGCACAACTGTACTCAAAAATTAATTAGAAACAAGCAAAGAAACCTCATCACTACAAAAAATAGTATAATTCTTGATCTTAGTTTTACTAGGTACGTCCCTGGCTTTGTATATCATGGGATTCCTTATGCTTGGCTGGGTCCATTTACCAATGTTCTGAACTCTTTCAGCCACCTGACCCCATAAATTCCTGTCTCAATTTCTGAATCCCCAATCGGATCTGAGATTGCCAAGATGCATTTTGTTATTTCTTTGAATATTCTGATAGTAGGCAGGAGGATGATTTGATTATACACCAAAATGTATTTTTAAAAAATATAAATATATCAAAAGGGAGTAGAAAAAAAAGAAAGTGTAAACCAGCTCTCAGGATCACTCAGTGGGAAGCAGCATGCACTGTAGCTATTGTCCCTGGTCCTGAAATACTTGAAATGAAATCAAAAAATCACCCAAGACAAAGGCAAGCACACAGTGAAAAATGAATACATTCTTTCCTATATATACCAGTTTTTCTTTACCCAAATTTTAGAAGAGGCCATTTTACATTTCCAGAAGATTTTTAAAAAAGAGCTAAGATCATTAATTGTTCACTGTGACAATCAATCTCTTTGAGAAAAATGAATTGGTAAAATATATTTCAATGGAGACTTTCAACAGCAGTTTTCAGCAGTTCCAATAGCAGAATATGCTGCAAAGTCAAAGAATAATCAACAGACAATGCCATTACGCAGTAATTCTTTAAGACGACCTGTAGCTATTAAAACACTTTCCTCTTCCTTCACATAAGGCTCCTTTACTTGCTACTGTTAAGAAAAAACTAGGGGGATATAGTTCATCTCTTGATTTCCTGTGTGGAGTGAAGCATTTGAATGCCCATAAATCCTTCATTCAGTTCAGTTCCACAAATAAAGGAATGAAACACAGTACTAATATTTGCTGAAAAGTTGAATGTTTCATTTTTACATGAAGACCCTTATGAAAATTAGTCTTTAAAAGGTACAAAACTCCATAACATATTAAGTAATCATAAGATGTCAATTGCATATGTAATCCATTAATGCTCGGTAAGCAATTAACTGCTTTAACTGCTGTCACAATTTATGTTCCAGTACAGAAGACAATGCATTTTATCACACCAGATAGGTAAGGACATATAATAAAAAGAGTAACTTTGCAGTTATTTGAAAGAAGATGTAAAATGTGTATTTGGGAGCAGAGTGCAAAACAATCAAGTCATATCCAATCTGAACATATATGGTGGTTTCCCCCACCCTCCATCCCCTAGTATTTTTAGTCAACAGACAAAAATTGTTGAGATAATTGACTCACAAAACTGTAAACTGGCCCGTCAACTATGTAGATTTCTTACATCTATTATGACTAACAGAAACCTTGATGTAATAAAGAGCAGACACTTAGCAGGAAAATTATCTTAAAACAATACCTACCGGTCTGGTTGTACCCGCTGAATGTGGAGGCTGGTTACGAACTGTAACAGATATTAGAGATTTCTGACTTAGCATTTATTTCAAAATCAACTTCTGTCTATATTATAATTAGTACAAAGCATGTATGTATTACCTATGTTATCTTTTCTTTGTGTTCCAGGGCTTTTTTGTACTTTGAAGCATGGAAAAGAAATAGATTATCTGTGTCAGATAAGCCACAAATGGGTAGTAGATGGCGATGTTACATTACTACTTCTGAGAATGGAAGCAAGGAGACCCCAGTGATTTTTTCAAAATTTATTACATATCCACCAGCTGTCACTAACACACTCCTATCCCACAGCACACATGAAGTAATTTGAACATTTTATTACAGATTATTTAAATCACATCCTATTTGTTGCAAGCTAAAGACACCCACTTGTACCTTGTTCTCAACAGTGTTGGAAGCTGTTTTGTTTTGTGCTATATTCTGTAGATGTTCTACCAGCAGTGGTTAAAACAAAGAGAGCTGATGTAAAAGTTCCTGACCCCACTCTCTGTGTTTATGGGATACATGTGTTAGAGCACCAGCTTCACCACGGCCATGCTGATGGCAACCTGTAGATGCAACATTCAAACTGGGTAGTGCAAGAGATGAAAAAAATACCTCTAGTTCAGACAAGTACACAATTTCTAACAGGCAGGGAGGTTTAGGATTCTGGCTTGAGTTTCTGCTGCTTATTTCCCAGGAAGGCGAAGTCACCATGTCAGTCACAATAAGTGGAGGGAACTCTGCGGTGCATCACACGGTTTATCAAATCACTTCCAGCTATCAGACTGCCCTGGAGCCAGTCAGAATGGGTTTCTGGGTATGCTCTCAGTGAAGCAGCTCCCACTCTGAGCAACCTGGTGCCAATTTACTCTCCTTGCAGCAGGAAGCTGGTGTGGATAACCACCAAAGGTGCCTCCTAAACTCAAATACTCTATGCATAGAGTGATTTTACCAATTTAGAAAAATGAATCAGCAATGCAGCCAAAATTAATAGTAGCATACAGGAGGAAACCCTGACAGTGACTCTGCTAGGACTTGTATTGCTATTTGCTGTGAAGGACACATTCCTGAGAGACAAGGAAGGGACCCAAGCCCATGACTTTGCTGGCATGACTAAAGCAGGACCCATCCAGCAGTAATCCCATGTACTCCAACCAGAATGGTGCAAGAAAAATGCTCCTCCTAACTGTGTGTTACACACAGCTGGCTATCAGAACCAAAATACCTACACTGTGTTCTTTAGAAAGAAGCAAAATATTAAATTATAGACCAAATTGTTTAAATGGAAGTTTCTCTCCCCAGAATATATGAACATACATAGTCCTTTATGAAAAGTCAGGCTCCCTAGATTCCCGATTTAGTTACAGGTATAATGGTCAGTCTGATGACCAGCCAGCTACAGCTTCCTCTGAGGGTCAGCCTTAAAAGCATTCTTGATTAGAGCTCTCTAAGTTTTCACTTAGCTTTTCATAAATGCCTTCTGTAACAATTCCCACCACCACTGAAAACCAGGAAGCAACCTGGCTGGGTGAAAGCTATGCTAAGTAAAAGAAGAAAGATCCTACATGATAAACATGTTAATGAAATCACCCTTAGTATCACAAAAGCAGTAATATTACTCAGATGTTAAATTAGAAATCCATTTCTAGAATACAAAAATTGTTATGTTACCTTCTACTTCTCTCCTAGCTACCCCAGGACTGGGAGGAGCTCCAAGACCTTTTCAGAGAAAGAAGAGAAGCTGTACATAGCATGAGAAAAGCAGCAGATTGAGAAAGAAAACCAGAAAGAACATTGGCCCAAGGCAGCTTTACACAATTCAACTCTGGTCTAGATAGATTACAGTCACCTGTAGGAAATAACTGTTTGTAGCAGCATGGAGAACCAGACTGGTGTGAATTACAAATCATCAAGTACATTCATGTTTAATATCATCTACTATTTTAATTTTACATTACAGTTGAAAGTGAATTTAATTCCTTCAAAATGTTCACTCTTCACAAACGTTTGGTTATCCAGTGTGATCTGACATGCTGTTCTTGAAACTCTCATGAGCAGAGCACAGACCTGTGCTCAAACACTGGGGAATAAATGAGCACAGCACTTACACCCTGCAACAATAAGCCTGATCCCTGTCATTCAGAACACTGAGTAGTCTGTTTCTGGTACATCTGAGTAAGAAATGTGATGAAAGCAATACTTCCCACTTCATATAATGTATTGTATCCTGAAGAACTGTATTACTAAGTTGCCTCTATACACCACTGTGCACTTGGGACAGCTGTACCAACTGGTTTAATAGTTCAGATTGAAAGAAAGAAGATTTTCAATCATGCATAACCATGCTGAATTACTTGATTTCTGCAATATCATCAAGCATGTACTGGGTTCCTAAAACTGCATGGCAAAAACACGACAGGACAGAGATGTGATGGAAATACTGAAGGCATCCCTTAGCTATGACACAGCCTCCTGTGCTTTCTCACCATGTGCCCACATGTGAGATCTGCCCAGGCGCTCTCTGTGGTCTGTGAGTTCTGTCACAGGGTCGGCAGAGTAAAGGCTGCACATGAGGCTGAAATGGGACTGTCTCCAGAGATGTTAGATCTCTGCTTTGGCTGAACATCTGTTCCAAAGATGCTAAACCCTAGCATGTAGTATCTGTTCTAGCTGAGACCCAGGCTCTGCCAATTTCCATCACAAGCTTCTGACTGAGAATGACTCTGTGAGAGGAGAAGCAGTGAAGCTGCACAGGAGTAGGGCACTGCCTGACAACATTCCATTGCTCTTGTTTTATGCAGGAGGAGGACTAAAGCCAGCTCCTTCCCGCAGAAGGGAGACACAGGCACACGTTCCTACGTCAGGGCACCAGACAGGGGGAGCAAGATCTTCAGGCATGAGGATTTGGAAAGTTAACAAACGTTCACTACAAGGGAGAGAAACACAGAGGGTAAATACCTGAGATTTCACTTACTCATAATACTCTTCAATAGTGAGAAAGCAAAATTATCCTGCTGTGATAATGCTATCTCAAAGGGCAGCATGGGAATATTTTCATCTTAGGGGCAATGAAAAACAGTTTAAACCAATGATAAAAGCCTTGGCTGCACCAATCAGGAAAACTCTGACTACTATTGTTAAAGGAAAAATCCCCACAAGTATTGTTTATTAACTTAAATTGACAATTAGAAGCATTTACAGTTTTTAATGTTCTCTGAAAATTTAATCTGTAATGTATTAAAAAATATTGGGTAAACAGAGTACAACATTTTAATTTTTAACTATAAACAACTGGGGCTTATAGAGTCCTCAGTGAAATTTTTTTTGTATTAGCATACAAAAGGTCTACACTTTGTAAAGACCTGCAATGAGTGCAGAGCCTTGTTCACCTGAATTCTGATATAAAATATGACCAAACTAAAACACTTAGATGCCCAAATTCTTCTCTCATCTTCAAAGCATACTGAGCCATTAGAAAAAGTGCCATGGGATTGAAGGGACTGAAGCACTGGCGGGAAAAAAGGTCAAAATGTGTGAGGAAAAAAGTAACATTTAAAAGGCACAACATTTTAAAGACATGATTAATGTCCCTTTGTATGTACTATGGAAGTCTAAACCCAAAGTTTGATCCACTTACACACTATACAGGGATATTTCCACAGAGCTTTAAGAGCCTTCCTCCTAGGGAAGAGAAACAAGTGCCCTTTCCCCACAAAACTAACCCATAAGTACATTTATTTTGGTTCCAACCCTGTGCTAACTTGCTTGGAGCTGAGCTCAGATGCTCCTGAAAAGCAGTCTTTATGCTTACACATGTACACTATGAGTAGAAAATGGAGAGCAGAAAAAAGTGAAGATCTTTTGGTTGGAATAATACATGAAAAAATATACTACAGGCTCAAATGTTTGCATAAAAAGCAAGTTTTATGCAAGTTACAACTCTATGGAAAGCTATGCTGGGAAAGATGATAAAAGAAGACAACTGACTAGTCTTTGCACAATTGAGACAAACTAGGCAAACAGGATAGTGTCAGTGCACAGAAAACTACACAGGACTGAAGAACAATGAATTACATCTAACCTATGTTGAATGTGGTCTATCAACTGCTTCCTAAAGCTTCTGCGTTTTAACTCATCTGAAATATTACATGCTGGGCATAAAAACTTCCTTATCTCACCAGTATCTAAGAGCCAAGTACATTTTTGCCTGACACCAAAGTTAGCTGATAGTTACAGACTATTTAAAATAGTTTATGTATGTTCTGAGATTACTCAAAACTTTCAAAGCATTTTGTCAAAAATCCCACTTTCCTACCAACTGAGGGGCAGCTAGTGGCCTGGAAGTGCCACTAGCAATTCTCACCCTCTCTCAGGTATTGATGAGCTGATTTAAGTCCAAGCAGGACAGCAAAATGTGGGCCAGAGAAGGACAAAGACTACTTTGAAGAAGCACTTCATGCAAAAGTTAGCTGAATGTATTCACCCAGGACAAAGTAATAAAAATCTGGAACAACCTTCATCTCTGACTTTAAAATACCAACTTCTGGAGAAATACTATTTCACAAAAAAAGTCAAACGTAGTTCAGAGGGGGAAGAAAGAAATGACAGTGACATTCATGAATTATCCAGTTATACAACTTTGAGAATTGCCCATTTTTACACCTTTGGAAATCATCATGTTAAGTATTGTCACAAGAGATCCCCACGGCAATTTTGCTATGTAGTCATATTCAAAAACAATTAAAATCATTACCTCCAAATTCTTTTCTAGCAGGTGCAGGACTCCTACCGCCTGACAGTATTTAAGAAATGAATGCAGCAATAATGAAAAATATCAGTGCAGTAGGAGGGAAGAAAAAGAATGAGAAAGTTAAAAATCACAAGGGTCAGTTTGTTATTAACTATGTTGCCCAAATGCTTCTGAACATCCAGTTTCTCTTAGTGCTCAATTGTTCACATTGTCAGATGATCAAAATGAAGTCTACATTAAAAACTTGGACATGATAAAACACATATATACTGATGCCAAAATTAAAGCAATAGCAATGAACCAATGAATGCACAAGTTTCTTTTATTTTAAAATAGATGCTATAAAAAATGAAAATGTTGAGTAAACATTGCTGTAAAATGTCACATTTTTAAAATTGTGAAAATAAGTTTTTATAAACTTATGCATTAATAATATTTAAATGGTAAAAATGCTGTTATTGCTTTTAAATGTACCAATTACACATTTCAATTAAAAACCAGTGAGCCCAAAGTGTAATATGCAGTTTGTGTTTGCACTTTCAAGTCCATCTCACAGACTTGAAAACAAATATTCCTGAGCACCTAGAAAGGCCCCCCACATTACCTGAGGGTGGAGGTGGCCGCTGTGGAGGAGCAGGACGTGCAGGAGGAGCGATGGGCCGAGGGGGTGGAGGACGCTTTGGCTCTAGGCTCTGGGGAGGCTCCTTCTGCTGGGCACCAGGCTGGAATTCAGCTGAAGGGTATGACAGAAAGCAGTATAAAAATTAGTATCTTGGACATTCTAAACCCAACAAAGCTTTTCTAATAGCAAGGTTTTCTCACAGAGAGGACGGTCGGAACCCAGCCCTGGAAATAACGATCCGGAATTTTTTGAGAGAGGAAAGACAAGAGGAATGAACCAATGATGAAAAGAAGCAGATTTCCTAAATCAAAACTTTTGCCTCATGTGTTTTAACAAATTTATGTTTTTCATGAAATCCTGAACAATCTTACCAATTGCAGCATTCCAAATTTTGATTTTGACTCTTACCTGTGAACTAAGTTCTCTGGAAAAAATGCTACAAAGGGAATTCTCAAGGCATTTGAGCAGTTAAAATAAACTCAATAAAAAGCTGTTCTGAGCACCATCATTGCGTTCACATGTTCACTTCATAATTAAAAAAAAAGGCTGTGTTTAAACAGAAGTTTTCATATTGTGCTCCCAATTTACCAGTGTGTTGATTACAACTTGTATCTTGGAGTTGACAGGCGTAGGGATTGCCAGGGGCTGTATTCTGAGAGTATGACTGGGGTGAACCAGAATTCCACAAACACCTTACAACAGAACTTGGGTGTGGCAGTTCTTGAGGCAGTGGAGCCGTGCAATACACACCCTGGGTGGAAACAGGTGGCCCAGGAGCTTTTCCTGAGGCTCGGCTGGGTCTCACCAGGAGCGTGGGTCCATCCGACAGCGTTGGGGACTGGCAAGGGCTGGAGCGTGGGGAAGAGCTTGGCGAGGTTCCCAGCCCCGAGCTCGATGTTGGATGTAGGTGCTGAGGAAGGATTTCTTCTACTTCAGCACTGTAGTCATCTATGTCTCCTAAAGAGCAAACCCCAGAGAAGAAAAGCACATAAAAGCTGACTCTGGGCATGAAATTTTGCGTAAGAAAAGCCCAAGGTTCCAACGAATTAGCTCAGCAACCAAAGCATGATTCTTGCATCCCAAAATTACACATGAAGAATATGTATGTATTCAAACCAGTTGAAAATATTTCAAATGCTAATATATATTATAGATATATATTAAAGGTAATTATAACAGTGTGGCAATTGTTCTTAATTTAAGAAACAATTAGCTTTACAGGTTATTTCCTTGGTTTGCAATATGACAAGTTTCACTTGCTCTTCAGAAGGCTGGGCAGGGGATTTCAAGGTATTTGTTATTTGTAATACCTTCTGCTTGCTAAAGGTGGAGTGTTCCAAAAAAAGGCTCAACATGGATGTGCTTTTGAAGAGTAAATTGTCAATTTAGAATATATTTAAATGTAGACAAGAGTAAAGCAGATTGTCAAGATACTGTTGGAAATAATATTATTTCTAATCTGTTTTAGATGGGCATAAATATATTTATACATGCATTAAATTAACCACATTATTTAGGACTGTAAGCATTCCAAAGTAAGGAATGCTTTATCTCAACAAACCTTCCATGTCATAGTCTGCAGTAACCTCAGCATCTTCACAAAGCAAAGTGGAGCTTGTTGATGAAGGCAGCCCAATATTAATCTTCTCTAGATTCATTTCATCTTCCAAACTTCTGATCCAATCTGGATTTTTCAAATTGATATTTATAATCCTTCCTTGTAGCTGAATTGCCAAAAAAAGGTATGCACAAAACAGAAGTTCTTAAGAGTAGGAATATTTAAACTCGCCATTTGAAATTTAAAAACAAAAAAATAATTCCTGAAAACATCACAAATAAGGTTATAGGAATTTCTGTTACTAAACAAAAATAATTCTGATTTTCACTTCATTTTGGTAAGTAACTACATTTATGTAACTTTAACTGTTCATTACAACCATTAATTTTTTTTTGCAGAAAAACTAGCAACTCATTTCCTATGGTTCTCCTTTTCATTTAATCAGGAAGCTTCTGGTTTTTTACTCTGACAGAAACACTATTATTTATAAAGAAAAACAGACTTGCTTATAAACTACATGAATAAAGTAATTTTTAGAGGCTGGCACAGAGCAGGTCTCCATTCTGTAAACTGACATTCTACCCAGAGCCCCTTTCCTGCCAGTGACATCTCAGCAGATCCAAGGATCCATTAGTAAACATCACACATTCTAAATTTTCACAGCCACAGACTAGTGAACGTCAGAAGTTCAATTTTCACAAAGATACTGACCCCACAGAAGTCAATGCAAGCTGAAATTTTGACATTTTTCAGAGTTTGTAGTACAGAAGTGCTAAATTTTTAATAACTGCAGACTATAAAGATTTTTAACTTTAAGCTGGGTTTTCTCTTGCTATACAGAGGTTCAGTCATTTTTACATTACCTCAATACCATTCAAATTCATAACATTCAGAGCAGAGCTTCCTTCCAAAAATGTTACCCACATCTTGTCTTCCACAAACCTGCAAAGTTCATTGGAAACAATAACCAGCAAAATACCACAACACTTAATAATACAATTGCTAGCCTAGTGCAAATGCAACATTCTTCTTTTCAGTTAGTTTAAAACCGCTAACCTAATTCTAGAATACAATATTTGTCTAAAATTCTCAAAAATAAGAGTATCTGGAAAAATCGTGTCTGAAAACTGAGACACACACACACATATGTAAAATGAATTCTAAAGACATTTAAGTTGAAATTCAAATGTTAAAAATTAAACAGATCATAACTGAAAAGTTATTTCCTACCTAAGGAAATAACTTTACTCAGGAAATTGGTGGGGAACAATGTAGATGAATTTTGGACTTGCTCTAGCAAGTCCAAGTCCAGACAGAACAAGGGGGGAAATGGCTTCCCACTGCCAGAAGGTAAGATGGGATAAGATGGGATACTGGGAAGAAATTCTTTCCTGTGAGGGTGGGAAGGCCCTGGCACAGGGTGCCTAGAAAAGCTGTGGCTGCCCATGGATCCCTGGAAGTGCCCAAGGACAGGCTGGAGGCAAAATGGTCTCGTGGGAGGTGTCCCCATGGCAGCAAGTGGGACTGCATGATCCCTTTCAACCCAAACAATTCCATGATTCTATAAGCACAGATTAAAAGTAAGAAGGTTTTTTTTTTTCACCTTATAAGTATAACTTCGCCGTAGCTTGCAAATTTTTGAAGAAGATCATCAATCAAGTTATCATCAAAATAGTTTTCTTCAGCTGAAGAACTTCTGATGGAGACCATCACAGTACCATCAGGTGGTCCTTGCATTGCAATCACCTCCTTATACACTTTTTGTCTCTCTTCTGCTTCAATTTCAAATATGTCAATGTCAATCAGTGCAACAACAGGTCTTGGAAAAAACAGACCAGAAAATCCTGTCAGCAGAGTATCTGAGCAACAAAATACACAACACGAGTATTAAATCTAAAATACACTGCACGAGTATTAAATCTTAGGAAGTAATGTATAAAATTAAACTGGAACCTATGATCAGATGTTTTCAGCTCTGCTCTTCCGTAGTGCAACAGAGTGCCAGGATTCCATGTATAAGGGACATGACTGTCACTATGAAAACTTGCATTCAGAAGATCCAGGTCTTCAGCTACAATCAGCAACGAAAACAAAAGAGGAAAAATACAGTGATTATAAGGATGTGTCTTTGTAAAAAGAAAAAACATAGGAAGTAAATACAAATCGAGTGTCTTACAGAAACCCCCCTCATCAAAGTTCCTTTTCCACCCCTCAAATGTCAGTAAGTGGGATCTGATTCGTGGCCCTTTCTTCAGCCTCACTGTGTTTACTGAAGTTCTGTTACAAGCGTTCTGTGGCCTACCAAGCCAGGAACAGCTAAGCATCATTGGCACTGTGAACATCACTAAATGGATCCTCTAAGTCACTTGAAGAACATTTTAAACAACTGTAGGAAACCCTCAAACCTGATCGGTCAAATGGCCATTTCCTTCTCCTCCAGAGGATCCGATCTGTCCATGCCGGTGTGCGGCACTTTTCACTGGTGTCATAGTCATCAGAGAACAGATCATATTTGTATGTAGGGGCAAAATTTATTTTCCCTTCCAGAAACCCCCTAAAAATCTGTAAAAACAGAAGACAGAAGCAGATGGGGAACAGCTTGAAACTAAGCAGAATTCTCTATTTCAACACTGACAACCTGTATAAACACCTCAAAATAAAATAAAAAACCCTGCTATTTGTTAACATGGATTCCGCTCCACATTTTTTCTGCTGGAAACATTTGACAGTGATTAAATAGTGACCCTGACAATCAGTGAATAGAAGTATGCCAGCAGTTATATCTTTAAGCCCAGGCTTACCAACAACCTACTGTTCCTTCAATGTCATAAGCAACTGGAGGTCACCCAGACACTGATGCTGTAACACAGCATTTTAATCTGGTGCCTATTTGTCCCTGTGTCAGCAAAAGTGGGGAATTAAGGCTTACATTTTTATCTATCTGAACAGGCCAAATTTTCCCACAAATTCAGACACACGCTGGTTTGGGTTGGAAGGGACACTAAAGATCATCCAGTTCCAACCCCTTGCCACAAGCAAGGATGCTGCACACATCAGGTTGCTCAGGGTGCCATCCAAACTGGTCTTGAACACTTCCAGGAAAAAGTTGACACAAAATGCCCCCTCAAATAAATAGGTTTAAAAAAAAAAAAAAAAAAAAAAAAAAAAAAGTCCTTAATACATTTAATACATTCAATCTATTCAAAGTGAGCTTCTCACTCGTTAAGTGTTTAAACTGGACACAAGATAAAACCCTTTAGCTAACTCAGTCACCTCCACTCTTTTCTTGAGTTCAGCCTTCTATGGGCATCTTTCCTTCACTTCAGAAATCTGTAAAAATAGAAATCTAACTTGGATCTTACAGTCAAATCTGCATCAAGTGACAGGCTGACCTCTCTCTCTTCCTGGAAATACAATTTGAAATCCAGTCAATTTAAAAGTCAATGTCAGAAGATGAATGTCAGAATGCTAGAAGTTCCACAGCTTCTGAGACAATTAATTTGTTTGGCTTCAGTAATTATTTTCTAACCTACTTTTTATGGAGCACGTTGCTATGTAAGCACCTCTCCTGAGCAGCAGCTAAAAATGTGAACCTGCCACAGCCATAGAGCTCCCCTTGGGACACAGCTGGTACCCAGCCAGCAGCTTCTAAATCATGGAATATCACCCCAACAGTGCAATGCTACTCCTGCTCCCCAGCCAGGAGTCCTTTTCATATTCTGGCCATTTCCATAGACTTCTCCAGCTTTATAACTGCTGGAGGTCTCTCCAAAACCTCTACACGTCATGTTTTGATCCACTTTACAGACATCTGACAAACAGACAATGCTGTCTGCCCATGTGAACGTATACCTTGCTTGCTCTAGGAAACAGCTGTAAATTAAGTGAGTAAAAATATCCAGTGTTTTGCCTCCTTTCTGGTGCACAAGACACCAGCACAAATGGAAGGGAATTCTAAGCCAGCAAAAGCACTGCTTGTGATCAAAGTACTGGCAAGCAGACAGAACCAACAGTAGAGGACTGTCCCTCATTTTACCGTATCTAGCCTTCCCATGCAGAGCTGCAAAGAGAGAACAAGAAACCCTACAAATCTAAAACATGTGGCTTTCTTCAGACTTTGTTATTCTGTGTTTTCTCTGCAAATAAAAAAGCTACCATTTGGACTACTCCTTTTCCCAACAGTAACAGCATTAGACCTATTACAATTTAACTAAAGAGTAACATTAGCAAACATTATAAATATACTTTTTAAGTAGTTACATCTGACAAAAAGAAAAATATTACAATTAGAAAGCTCCATGCTGAAGATACAGACTTACAGGAGCATCATAGCAATTGCTAAAACCAGTAAAAAAAATGAAGTATTCTCAAAAGTATGGTGACATTTGAACACACCTGTCCAGAGTTTTTTTGGTTGATAAGCTGGTCTCCTGCTATGAGGGTATCCCAGTTCTGTTGTCGTATTAGGTCCTTCACCTCCTCATTGGGCAAATCTATTCGATAATTGAAGTCCCCACACCAAAAAATATAGTCATGGGAAAAGAGCATCCTTCCCTGCAAAAGAGCAGCACACATTGGAGTTAAAAGCAACTGAGTGACAAATTTACTGCTTCTAGGTTCAAAACTTCAGTTTTTAGTTGTGAAACATGTATAATTTCTGGGTGATGAAGACAACTGAAATACATCCTCATATTTATTGTCCATATGATTAGAACAACACGATCAATAGTGTGGCATTTATATATGGAACACAAGAGAAGTAACATTTCCTGTGGAGTCTCCATTTCTGAAGAAACACAAATCAAGTGAATTGGATTCTAAAATTCTTCATCCTCCTCCTGTTTTAGAAGTCTCCTCAAAGGCGACGGCTGCTGCCTGTAACAAAGGAGAACAAAACACCCCCCCCCCCGGGACTTTGTGACACGGTCTCCTGACAGACTGCAAATCCAGAGCTTTATCATTCTGATTTAATTGAAGACTTTTCGGTTACATCTGATTCTCATCACTAGAGAGAGACATAAGGGCTTTATTAAAACAAAATAAAGTTTAAACAAAGCCCAGGTTTTAGACTGAGAACTTTTACTTCCCCCTTTGTTTTGATTTTTCCACTGCCATAAGTAAAACCAAGCAGATACACTGGCAGATTGAAACAGCAGCATTCAGGAAACTGTGGGATACAGCACTTGCTAGGAAAACTGAAACATGACAGCGGGGACATATTTAGAAAATAAAAAAACCCTGTAAAATAAGATGTAATACTCCTGCACAGTGCCACAGAAATTAACAAATTACAGTTTGATGACAAAATTTAAAACAGCTTTAAGTCTCAAGAAAGCATTTAGTTGCACAGACAACATTTTCGACTTGGTGATTTGATAATGAGAACATGGTGTTTGTTTATGATAACATGGCATAGAATCATTCCTGTGTACTGAGAACAGTGCTGTTCTGCAGTGATTTTTTTTTTCTCATAGGTGATTGTCTCCTGTGCCTACGGAAGTTCTACTGCATGTCAGGGGTCTATAAGGTCTCTTTCCTATGCAAAGTCTTTGATTCGGAATGCAAGTGAACTCATGTTTCATCATCTATATCATTGCACTGGCAAGGTCTATTCTTTCTGCAGTCTTCTATTTTAATAAACATTGTGGGAACTTGATTATCTTTGAGATCTCTAACCCAAGGAAATCTGATGTCCACAGGAAACTGGGGAAAGGGAAAAATGCATATGGAGCTTTAGGATGGCACTGCTGGAGCTCCAAGGGTTTCACTTTTCATCTGTTATGGAATTTGAACACCGTGCTTACCATCGGAAAGCCAAGTTTGCGAGAAATTTCTACAAAGTCTTCATTTCTCTCCTTGACTTGGGATTGCCCTGCAGCAAAATGACTGCACACAAAGCAAAGGCTGGAGGTATGGAACAACATCCGAATGGCCACCGCACCTTTGTTCCCAGTGGCTCCTCCCATGCCAGTCTTGACAGTATCAACAGCAACATCCCTGAAATAGTGAAACAACTATTAAACCTTCCAGGAACCTGGCACACATGGCTCCGAGTGTGACACTGGGCTGAGAGGAACACACTGTTCACCCAGCCATAGGGCTAGTTTTAAAAAGTTCCAACAGTCACTGAGCATCAACAAGATAAAACCTCAGTTTTTCAAGCTCTCTGGGTGGCCAGTGAGGCATTTAAAAACTAAGAACTTAAACAACTCTTCCACCAGGAGGTGAAACAGCTCTCTCAGAGCCCCACATGGCTCTGAGGATGTCTGGGTGTTATCCTCCAACACAAGGAAAGCTGAAGGTGACCCAAGCTGGAGCCAGCTGTCCTCACTGACCTGATAAAGGGAGCGTGCTGAGGCCTGATGAACACGAAGAGGCAGACACCCACCAGCTGCTCTGAAGCCAGCAGCACATACTTGTAGTCTCTGGAGATGGTCTTCTGCAGCTCAGCAGCCCAGAGCTTCTGATTTGTGGTGCTAGCAGTTAGATTAAAAACACCAGGTTGGAAATAAACCAAACTGAGTAGGTTTCTAGCTGGTGATTGAGCTGACTAAGCTACATCCAAGAACCTGAAGTAAACCTTGAGGCAGTAAACCAAAGCCAAGTTGGGAATGGTGCTCAAATGCCCCCCAGCAGAGACATAGGCTCTAGACTGCCATGCCATCACTGTTTCAAATTCAGCCTCTACAAATGCTGCCTCACTTTTCCCAACACCACAGATAACTTTATGAACCATGGCTATCTTTGCTGTATTTACAAGCCTAGACTAGAGGAGGAAAACCTAATAATTGTTTTAGAGAGTTCCTAGCCTAGAACTCAGTCAATATTGGAAAATAGGCGTCCACAGTCTTAGATCAAGAACATCCTTAGAGACTTAACAGATTATGGTTTTCAGAGTCAGCACCAGATGGGAATTAAAAATATCAGGCCTGGAAACAGTACTGACTACACAAAGGGTGAAATCACGGGTTGACAGGATGACACTTGGTACCCAATAGACAAAAATGTGCAAAGAAGGTTACAGTATTATAGGTTTTACGTGCTCTTCCCAATGAGTTAAACCTTCTTTATCACCAGGAAACAGGCAAAGCAGGCAGAGAAAACAATGGACAAAGGAAATATGGTCCTAGGACTACACACACATTTATCTTTGGTATCACCCACCACTGGGAAAAATGCATTTCCATAACCCAGTCTGCTACGAGTGGAAAATCCCAACTCCACAGTAATATATCCATGCAATACATGGAATGGCAGTGATAACTAACAGTATGGAAGGAAGCCTTCCTTTATACAGATCACAATCTGATACATAACGGTATACCAACAACACATGCTTTTGGAAAGATTTTCATAGGATTTGCTGTTCCCAGGAACTGAAGAACTGAAGAACACTGCAAGCACCAAAATTTTAAATAACATATTACTAGAAAAAGGTAATTTTCAGCCAAACAAGTGGATTGTGTGGACTGGCTCACCCACCTGGCGTTCACAATGTTTCCTGCATTTAATTCCACCATTTCTTCAAATCCAATGGCAAATATGTCCACAGGTTTGTTTTTGTGATCTTGAGGTAAATAGGGAAAAGGTTATTCATTGTTTCTAACTAACTTAAGAATCAAGACCTCATACCCAAACACACATATATATATATATATTCATTAAAAAAAAAAAAAAAAAAAAACAACTTCTGTCCTTGGAAAGAAATTCCTCCCTGTGAGGGTGCTGAGGCCCTGGCACAGGGTGCCCAGAGAAGCTGTGGCTGCCCCATCCCTGGAAGTGTCCAAGGCCAGGTTGGACAGAGCTTGGAGCAGCCTGGAATGGTGGAAGACATCCCTGACAATGGCAGGGGGTGGCACTGGATCTTTATGGTCTCTTCCTACACAGTTCTACTATCTACAGTGCTGTGCTTCTGTGATACCTGTCTCAATGTTTGTGTTCTACTTAGAAAAATCAGAGTTTCAAGAAAAAGCAATGACAGACCACAAATCCTACCTTGGAATTCAGGGATTCCAGCTAACTTTGGTGCATCCAGAAGCCAGTCAGTGAGGGTTTGATTTCTGAAGGCAATACTTCGAAACTGCTTCCCCCCATTGACGTTCCATGTCCCAACGCAGACTCGGATTTTTTTTGGTTTTGCATACTTATAGAAGTTCTCACACATGCTCTTCAGTACTTTTACAGATGCTGCAAAAACATTTGAAAAGACATTACTTTTATAGCAGACACTTGAGAAAACTCAGCAGTGAGATCTTTCAATGTACATGTACAAAAAAAGTTAAACTGTGAAAGCACAAAGAATGCAGCTTTCCCAGGGGAAAGTACCCTTAGAAAAGTACCCTTGTTCAGTCAGTGTCTTACCCACACACATTACTTGTGTGGGTAAGACACTGACTGAAAAACAGCAGCAATTTGGTCAGAATTATATAGAGAGATAATAAATGAGGGAAGCAATTCCCATTTTTTCTTTTATCTCATCCATGACTTTCTAGGGAAACCATCATTTTTTGTACATATCAACAAGGTTATCTGCCTGACTTTCACAGATTAAATTAATGAAATCCCCTCTCTGTTACAGAACGTACATGCAGATATATTAATTTCTGGAAGTATAAAAGTTGCTGATACAGTGCAAGTACTAAAATAGAGAAGGTACATTATTTCTTTGTATCAGAGTATATCTATTTAAGCCACAAATATTAATTATTTTTAGATCAGGTGAATTCCTAAAGAGCTGCTTTAGCGAGAACAGTAGGCTACGATTCAAAATAATTAAACTTATTTCTGTGTCCCATCAGCCTTTCCCTGTGCCTTGTTTTTATCTGCCAGATGAAGAGAGAGGAATGACCCATATGTAAAGGACATTGTGAGAAACACAGAGAGAAAAAAACTAATTCAATGCTCAGGTACTTTACCTAAGTTATATTATTTTACCTATTTTGAATGTGCTCATGGTTATCAGACTCCAAAAGAACAATATAAACAATATTAGGTGGAATTCTTCCTTCATTTGCTGCTGTCTTGAAAAATGGTCAGTTAATGGGAACACTACTTCCATTTAAATTCCCCAAGCAAGATGATTAGTTAGCTGCTGCTGTCTTTTCAATTATTCTTGGCTACCAGGTTAAAAAAAAAAATCAGGTACTCTCTATCCCTTTTGGGTTTGGAAAAAACTGGAAGCAAGTGAAGAAAATATATTGTTTGTTGGCTGCGAATGCTTTCCCTGCTGAACAAATCACACATCCATAAATGGGCCAACCACATAGGAAAGACAATGAATGAACAGGTTGGTGTCTCCTTGGGGTGCTCCAAGCAGATCATGCTTAGGATCATACTCTCTTCATCAAAACCCAGGGAAATGAAGTCTAGAAAACAGCAAAGAGTCAACAGGATGCTTGAGCCCTCCAGGCAAGAGCCAAATACGGGGTCTGCTTCTGACCCACACTCCAGCTGACCCCAGCCAGGAAGTCCAGCACATGCCCAAAAGGCCACGGAGGGTGGAGGACAGGAGCCACCTCACAGCACCTAGCCTCTGAAGGAAAACAATCACAGGAAGGCTGTAGACACAATACATCCAAGAATCCAAATCATCCGAAGGGCTGGCTAAAGCCCAGGAGCCCAGGCCAGCACCGCAGGCAGCTGTGCAGGCGTGCAGGAATGAGCATCCGCAGCACTCTGAGCGAGTTTAAGATCAGTGCACATTTCTCATCTGGGGTTCCATCTTTTTCTTTTGAAAACTTACTTGATTTCAGCTTCATTTTAGTTACTCCAAATCATTCAGCTGCTATTGAGCACCTTTAAAGAAAAGCTTCAAAATTTCATTCTTGCCTATTTAACTCCTGATGTTGTTATGAGACCCTAATGTGAAAAGCCTTACCAGGTTAGACTCTTAACTTTAAAAGTAAACTGACAACAAGCTTATTACAAAAAAAAAAATTCTATCTTTAAACTAGCAGTCTTTCTAAATTGTAGAATGACTCTTTTTATAAATTTGAATAATTAAAAATAAAGATTTCTACTGCTTTCCAAAATACTGAGTGGACCAAGTGCTTTTCAGAGCACCTGAGACTATGATTTTCCTACATATTTCTAGTTATTTATCTTTTCAGCAAAATTGTGCCTCACTCTACAACATCAGAACTCTAATCTGTTCCTTTTTCTGTTATTTGCAGAAAAAAAACTTTGACTGCTGCTCTTACAAGCCAAGCAGAAATTTGGAAATCATTTCCACAAAGGGAGTGTTAATTTAAAATTCTGTTTGGAATATTCTGTGCAACTGATGGAATTGCTGGAACTTGATGGAACTACTTTACTGAAACATCCAAATTTCTGTAGGAATATTTCAATACATGCAATTTGTACCCAGCTGAAACCCTGAAATGCCAAAAAATAGTTGATTTATAACTCTTAAAAAAATAGGCATTCTAATAAATAACAAAAATTAGACATAAATAATGCCCACAGTAATTGATAAATATATAAAAAATAATTGGCTCTTCTTCACAGTTATAAGATAGAAGGTGATACCATCAGTGAGTGTCCAGTCATTCCCATAAGCACTTGGTTACACTGACAAAATGCCAGTGTATCTCTTAATATCAGACATACATTACTTGTGACTCAGATTTCATTCTTTTGATACTCACTAAGAGTTAAGTAGGTAGAGTAAAACACATATAGGAAAAGCAAAATTGGCAAATGAAAAGCCCATTTAAATTTGCTCAACACACAGTAAAATCTGAATAAAAGAGCATTAGGAATATTTTATTTTAAATAATGGTTTCTCGGAACAAGAACACGAAGTGCTGCACAGCTGAGAAGTTTCCTGCATGACCACAAGCATGTAGAACCTTCTAGCAGCAAATAAGAAGAAATTACAAATTGTACTGAAGAATTTCACCTCTTATCCTAAACAAAGCAAAAGTACTGAAGCCTCCAAATCAGATAGAAAGGAATATTCTTTTGCAGCCAGAGAATGTGCAAAAAATAAACCCCTACAAATTGGTTACCTCACTTCCTAACTCACACCCAAGCTCAAATGCAACATTTTTCACCTCTTATATTCTCACTTTTATTGGATTAAAGGATGTTAGGGCACAGGAATGGCAGACTCAAACACCACCAGGAAAATGTGAGCCCATAGCCAAATATGACATAAACAGACACAAGAAAAGTCAGAGAACGACAACAGCTGGTCAGGTATCTACAGTTTATTTTACTGTACTATACTATACCTGATTGTAATGATTGCTCTGAAACTACGGATGCAGTAAGAGGGAAACAAGAAAAGATTAGTCAAATAAGGTATTGCTTTTTAGGATTTTCCAGCAACGTGTGAGAAAACATGCTGTTAATATACAATTTATTACACATAACCATTGCATCAGTTAAAGCATATGTTTATGTTTTGTGCTGCAAAATCTACCAAGCCTCACAATAGGATTAGCAAATTCTCTTTTCCTCCTTTATTAATAATGGATTCACACATGTTGAAGTACCCCACTGGTTAACTTGCTATCTAGCATAGAATGCAGAGAGATTGCAGGGAAGAGGGATTAATGCTCCTCGGCTGTCAGGAGCTACAAATATGGAAAGACTAGCTTGCATCCCCAGAAGAAGAGAGAGGAAATGAAAACAAATTTTAACTAATTTTGAGGTGAGGCCGATTTACCAGGTTTCAGATTTAAGAAAAAAACACAATAACATGAAACCTTGTGCTCAACAAATGGGACAAAACCACTCCCTCGGCCTCCACATTGGATGAAGATGTGGACCCTTGACATGAAGACTACAACTGGGCAACTATTTTCTTCTTGAGCCAGAGATTTGCACTGGAGCTTTGACATATTTTTCCTCATTCTAGGCTAAGATGTGTTTGGGAGAAGGAAAAAAAAAATGAAAAGGTTATATTTAAGAATGTTTCCCTAAAAGTTACAGTAACCCAGAACATTATTACCTGGGATCTTAAAAAGAAGACTCAAATTTAAGTTCCTTCTTTGCCCAAATATGAGCTCCTGTAGTTTTGATGTCCCAGGAGAGGACTGAACACAGCCCTGTGACTGACCCACTATTTTCTCACCCACCAGACTTGCAGAAGATGGGATTGGCTGCAGTTCTGGGGACCACAGAGGCTACACCTCTTTGGGGATGCAGGATGCTGGTTCAGCACCCTGTTCTCATGAGGGGAACCATGTTTCTGGTACAAAACCCCCGAGACTCACATGGCTGCTCTGCACAAGCAGAGTTTCTTATTGAAATCTCTCTGGTTTTGATGTAGAACTTCACCCAAAAATCATAAAGCAATTTCTGCAGCATGTTAGTTTAGCACTATTAGTAAAGCAGAACTAAATTCCATTTTTTAATAAGCCAAGAGAACATAAAATAGCATTTATACTTCCCAACAGTGCTTTGAAAACAAACTTGATACAGCTTTCTTACACCAAATAGTTATCAGAGATTAAAATCCTAAAAGACACATACCGCGTAAACTGCTGGTGGTTAAGAGAGCCCGTGCTTTATCTGCTAAATCACTATTTAGGGTATTTCCCAATAACAAAACATCAATGGCCTCCTGCTTGGAGCTATCAAAAAAGTTATTTTGGATCGTTCTGGTCACAGAACGAGCACCATCCTTCAGCTTTCCAGCCTGTTAGGGAGGAACACGTATAGAATATTTTATGTCGGACACTGCTCACAATACATTGGCAATATTCAGTAGATACATGTAAACTGCATAAATAATTTCAAGGGCTAAGGCAATTTTCTTCTTTAAGTATTAAATCAAGTCGTCCGAGCCTACTGTGCTACATGTGCTTTCCCCCCACCCCCAGATGCTAAACAACACAGTAATACCTACAAGGCATATTTAACAAGCACAAAATAAAATTAAATACTGCAGAGAGGGGATTTTTTTTTTTCCTAAACCCTAGGTCTTTAAAAATTAATTTGATATAGTGCCATGTTTAGACCATGACAGGGATTTTGGGCTTTTCCCCAAATAGTGAGAGATGAGCAAGCACTCAAGTCCAAATGCCATCACACACAAATGTACATGTTTATGCACTTAGGAGTTCAGAATTCACATTCTGGAATATCCATCTTAAAAGCAGAGAGAGCTTCAACTTAAGACCACCCTTAATAATTGAAATAACATGCAAGTCTCATGCAGCATCCCAGAAGGAACACAGACACTAATCCATGACTACAGACACACCCAGACACCATCTTTGCACGCTCCGGCCTGACTGAACTGCAGTCCAGAGGAACAGTGACCAACTGGGCTAAACAAGGGTCTCCAGAAAAATGTGCTGCTGATGCAGATGTACCTGAGGGACACACACACCTGAAGGATAATGTAGAAAACATATAATGCAGTCTTGTACTCCATTCCAAACCTGGCAGTGTTGACTTGGGCACACAAAAACAACTGTTGTTGCATGTGCTTTGCCTGTGAGGTGTGTGTGAACACACACTGCTGCAGGTACATGAAAAACAGACTGTGATCCATCTGGGATGCTGCAAGGGATTGTGTTATTATAAAAAAATATTCCCATGTTTACAGCTTGCATTGTCCATGAAAGCCTCTTAAACGCATATGAAAATAAGGCAAAAGCTTAACAAAACTACCCTAGGATTTAGTTCTGGAAATTGTACTGGTCAGCAAGACAGAAGCTACTCTTTTGGCAAGGCTTTGGCAGACAATGTGGATGAGCTGTAGGGACCACTCTATTGCAATAGGATTTTGATAGGATGCACTCCCTTCATAGCAGACAACGCACAACTGGTGATCCAAAAAGCCACACTCACCATTCACATATCAGGCAATTAATTGAAAGGAACCCCGAGAAAGCAAAAGAAAGAGCAGGTAAGGAGTTAGATGCAACGAGTATTACAATATTTTAAAAAGAACTGGTTTTCAGTATAGAAAGGTATATTAACACACTTAAGGTTAAAAGAATTTTCTCTTATATGAAATTTCTGTATTTTTACTTCTAGGTATTCTTGGGCTTTGAAAAATCCAACTGACAAGTAGAAAATGGAACAATTTCAGGCATCAAACTTTTCATTTGAGAAATGAGAATGCAACTTAAAAACTACATTTTAAAATATATACTCAGAGTACTCAAAAACATACTGAGTCAGGTTTAATTGAAACAAGAGCAAGTATTGTATGGTTTTGCAAACCATACAGATCCTCTTTGAATAGACTGGACTGGTGTCAGAGATGTTTGATTTGATTTATGAGATGTGGTACTAATTAGGAATTGTCCCAGGGCAGGGATCCAGAATTATGCCAAAGACAGCAGAGTAACTGTACTGTCGTGGTTTAATAAACCAGGACATCAGCTCTGTGTTTTAAACATTAAAAATGGAAATGTATACATTAAATGCATTTTTTTAAGTTAAAAAAAATAGTCAAATGAACTAGATTAAGTAGATGTTTATTAATTTAGGAAAAGGAACAAAGAAGGATGAATGGCAAAGTCAAGACAAGGGGAGGCACTCCATAAAATACTTACTGCAGTTTTCCTGGCAGTCTAAGTGACATTTTTGTAAGAAAATAAAACTAAATATCTTGATCCAAATTCCATTTCATAATAAAATACAAAAAATTCCCAAATGAAGAAGTCTTGTGTCCACCAGTCAAGGGGCAAAACAAGCAACAAGTTGATTTGATTCTTTTGTTTTTATGTATTTTGCTGTGACACCTCCTGCATGAGCAGAGAAGGACCCTGGCACAGGATGAATGAACAAATGATGGAAAATCCAAAACACCTGGCTATGGGTAAGTAGGCTAGAACATGGAATGAGAAGCAGCACATTCTTTAGCAGAAAAAACAGTGTGAAAAGACATTCTTGAAGGAACTAAGGGCAAAAATTGCTACAGGTCAACATTTGTCTTGACAGGTATCACCTGGCGAGGGACAGGATTAGGGAAACAAAAAAGCAACATTGTGAGAAAAAAACCCAAAAGGCAGCATTAGCAAATAGGAGCAACTCAGGCATCAACTCAGACAAAACAAGCTGAAGAGAAACTTTACACTGCCATGGAGCATGAAACTGTTCCTACAGTGTTAAAAAGCAAGGTAGAAACAAAATTTGCGTTTTTTTCAGTGACTGCAAAATGAAAAAGAAAAAGCTGAACAAACATGCAAACAAAACCCACCAGGCTACAACTAAATTAGTATTAACACTATAAAACATTAAAAACATGAACAACACCCCATCAAACACACTTGAAAAGGAGATACAGTGAATGGAACTGAAATAATAGCAGGAGAGGTACAGAGAGCAAAGTAAAAATAGTCAAAGAAACTAAAGCTGATTTGAGTATATATTTTTCTGAACTATGTTCTAAGGAAATTGAAGATTTCAGACTTATCTGTTCATACAGAATAGTGTTATGTGGGAGGCAGGAGCATGGCTAGGAAGGAATGTAGAGGAACATGGCCTAGTTCTCCACAGAACCAACCATTTCAAGTTAATTTTTCTGGTTGGTTGGGTTTTGTTTGGGATTGTTTTAGAATGACAAAGAGCATGTTTTTTTAAAGAGAAAATCTCATCATTGCTATATTAATGGCAGAATTTATTAAAACCCATACTGAACACGGCTAAAGCATTTGAGAAGATGTACTTTACCTTTGCTTTTCCTTCAAGGGCTCCAGTTCCAGCATATATTTTACTAACAGAATCACCATTCACAGACCACATGGATCGGAAAACTTCCTGAAAGCGAGTAACTAATTGAGGTTTCTCAGCTAATCCTAACACCTCCAGCTGTTTTGTTAGCATCTGTAACAGGGGAAGACAACATTAGCAAAAAACCCCAACAAACCAAACCAGAAACAAACAAACAAAAAAAACCCCAAACACATTAAATATTTCTCAAAAGGCACATGGTACATTTCAGCATATATGCATAAAAGCCCACAAATCTTGGGTTTATATGTATCATTCTGAGCAAACTGTCAGCATAACATGCTTGAAAGGCTGCATCATACATGTAATTTAGCACCAACACTGCATTTTCCTTTGAAGACAGACAGTAATACAGGAAAAAAACGATGCAGCTGATTTGTAGATGTTTTTATCTTGTAGTTCACCAAACTAAACACAAAAGCTATTTTCAAGAGCTTTTAAAAATCTTTAAAACCTTAGGGTGTCTTGACAGCAAGAAGAAGGAGCCTCAAATAATAGATGGAAAAGAATGGCAAAGGCAAAATTCTGACGGTTGGGCAGGAATCAACAAAAGATACAAAAGGAAACTTGAGTAATAAAATTAAGAAGAAATATACAAGAAGTTTTAGTAATTGGGTGCTTGCTCTTATAACTTTAGGGGGTCATCTAGAGTTCAGTACCTGTTATTTTAAGTATCTATTGTGCTGAATAAAGTAAGACTTCATGTATCTCATTTAATAGAATTTTAAAATTAAGTAAGCAGTTCTTCAGGATTAACCATTTCCCTTCTTATTAATTAGTTTCATGCTTTTAGCTCTCATATTTCAGCTGAAATCATAATTTAATTCTCATTGCTGAAAAATCTGGCACAGCTGGTTTAAAAAAAATTGTATGTATGCAGTTCTTAAAAGGATATGAAAGGAAAAAACAGAGCTAGATAGCTACGTTTGACATGTAAGTACTCTACACATCAAGAATGTAAAAAGAGAGTCTTATGCCATAGAAAACTTGTGTAAATGCAGCAGCCAAGCACTACATATTCCAGAATCAGATATATCTCTTTTAAAACCTTGTTTTAAATTTTTAAATTTAAAAAATATATAATTTAAATTTTAAATTTTCAAATGCCTCGTAAGTTGTCAGAGAAATTCCTCTTAAGAGGAGAATTTTAACTCAATAAAATTAAGAAAACAGAAGGATAATTATATTCCTAGGTTTGCCCTTGCAGCATCCATAGTTTTGCATTTTCAAGCATGCTGAAGGTCTTCCCTCTGGCAGTCAAAACAAGAAACAGCTGACACTAGAAACACACCTCCAAAAAGTCCATTCACCCTTCTCACGGAAGGTGACACTACTTTTACAGCCCGAGTGCCCCAGCAGCAGCAGCTGGACATGGGTTTCCTACCTCCAAGCCGAAGAAGGCCTGCACACTGTTTGTTCTGTCCAGACAGTCCAAGCAGTTGGTCCTGACAGTGCCGCTCTGGGATCTGTGCCAAGGACAACAGGAGAGAGAGAACAACTGAAATAACTCATCTAACACATATCTCCTCAACAGGGGCAGGGACAGGGAGATCTGAACCAGAGCAGTAAATCAGGGCATTGTCAGCACCATGTTCCTGCCCCACAAGGACATTTATAAACGTGCCAGCAACAGGGGGTGAGCTTGCTCCAAGTGCTCACTGAGCACAGCTCAGGCATTATTTGCAAATAACATCAGTCCTTCTGCTTCAGTTTCTCCCAGCCCTCCTTGCTTGCTTGGTTAAGTGTCATGCAAGATTGAGGTTTCTTTTCAAACAATTCAACTAACACACTTCCAAAAAACCTCAGAGAGAAATAACTCATAGTTACAACAAAAATGAAAAAAAAAAAAATTACTGAGACAGTTCTTGAATTTTATTTTATTTAGCAAGAAGTAACAAGAATGTATGATATAACTAAAGCCAATTCCAATGCCTCACTACTTGCTCATAAAAATAAAAAACAAGCCTCTCCCCTTTAGCTCAAGGGATGTTTGAGGCCCATAAGCACTCAGAACTGCTCCGCTTACTTTGGGAAAAGCCCGTTAACTCCTTCTAGAAAGCTCTCAAAAGGATCATGTTAAGCAACATGGAGTTCAAAATTCTAATAGCTCTCCCAAGGACACACACTTATCCATTCCTTTTGTCATTCCCTCTACACAATTTGTCCACCAAAGTCAGTATGGTTGCAGCACCTGTATTTTGAGACCTAACCACAAACTGCAGCAAACTCTGAAAAACTTTCTTCAAGGTTTTTTTTTTTCCTTTTGGCATTACTATCTCTGCATTTGGTTTGAAATACAAGGCAAAAAGCCTGACATTTGCCAAAGGAAGTGGTCCATTAACTCAAAAGCATTATAACTACCTTTTATTAACACCAGTCTTTGAGCTGTCACAAGTCACAACTTTTTTCTGCTTTCAGTCTGTTGAATTTTGATTTCTGATGACATTATTTGAATCCCCCAATTTTAAAAAATGCCATTTTTAGAGCTTTTTGGAGCTCATCCCCTCATCATTTAGCAGCTCCTTCTCAGGGAGAACCTCACTCAGCACTTTGCTCTGCAGCACTTTGCTCTGCATTAGTTAAAAGGCGTAAGGGTGTGGAAGGCAGAAGAGAATGAATGTTGCCTGCTTCTATCTCTGCTTCTCTTTTCCTGCTGAGATAAGTGTAGGGACGCTGGAGGCTCCTGGACGGTTTGGATGGATTCAGACGAGAGATCTCAGTTGGTTTCTCTTAGAATATAAGGTTTATGAGGGGTGGTGCGAGGTCCCACCTGGAGCTGCCAGACGCAGCATGTGGCAGGGCCTGAGGTGGTGGGGGAGGGGAGAGACAAAGGGAAGAGAGGGTGCTGTAGGAGAGCAGGGACTCCAAGACGGGGAAACTCCAAGAGAGGGGAAGTTTCAAGAGGGCGTCTGGCCCTTCGGAGACCCCATATCAGGGGGCTTCAAGGTGGGCTGGAACAAGACCTGGGCAATTGGGGTCACAGACACTTGATGTTTCAGGGGAGGGTTACAGGTGTGGGGTGAACCATACATTCTGGGGGTGAGATGGAACAGTCCATTTGACTTTTGGACCCCTCTGTAGGTAAGGTTATTGTCCAGCCAGTAGGGGGCGTTATATTCATCCTGGCTGTACTATTGTGGTTCTTCTGCTAGGCAATCATATTTATCTATCCTTCCCAAAAATAAGCATAGCTTTTGCTCTAGGAATCAGGAATAAGTACATAGCAGAGCAGAAAACATGCATCTCAATCCTGCTTTGAGAAAATGGATCTCTCAAATGGGGGATCCAGACACAGACAAAAACACTGTCCTGAACACGAACATTTACAACACACAGAAAATGGTATGTTCCATCACTGAGGGAAATTCTGAGCCTGTTACACAGGAAGATGGAAAAAACAGACATGAATTCCATGTGGCTGCCCACTAGAAAAAGGACTGTCGACCATTTTCACAAATCCTGAGGTCAAAGGCCTGAAATTAATTCTTGCCCCTTGAATGTCTCACAGAGATCTTCTTTAGAGATTTTTAGAGCATGCACAGAATGAGACAAGATTTTACTAGAGTAAAATAGGTGACTCATATTTCAGCTGTTAAGGATCACCCAGGATATGCTAAAACCACAATAACAGAGGCAACATCCTTTCTCTTATCTTATTGCTGAGGGGTGAAACACATCCCAGCACCACAATTTAATATGAGGAAAGTTATACACACAAACCTTTTCACTTCCTTTCCATCAAAATAAAAAAATCCACACTCTAAGAATTTCTGGACTTGAGGTTTAAGCACACTGTGTAGTTTTTCTGCCTTTCCACCTTTAACCATCTGATGATAGTCGAAGTTCACCATTTTGATATCAGCTGAATGTTCAGATGCTTTCAAATGGCTCTGGCATCATAAACAGAAAAAAAAAAAAAAAAAAGTATAAATATACCAGTACCTGAACATACAGAAGAAGGAACTAAACAAGAGATTACAAATATTTTAAAAGTTGTTTTATTAGCTTTCTTTTAGGTAAAATTAACAACTTTTATTACACTTGAAATGAATCACTCAGAACTGATTAATATTTCATGCGTATTTTTGTTTTCCTTGTCACAAAGTCAGGTTTTTCCCTTACTACCCCAAGGGTCACCAAGGCAACCCAGTAACCCATGGCTTCTTCTGCTGTTTAAATGTTTTCACTTGGAAAAGGTGATTTCAGTGAAACCCCTTTTCACCAACAGCCACTGACATGCTGGTCAGCAAAGGGAATTGAGTAACACTTCACCAACTACTGCTGGCAAAAACCCACCCAAATTATTTAGGTTGCTGTGGAGAGTGGCTTGAGCCCAACTTTCTCTAATATTCCCTGAACAAGCCTTAAGTGCCCACACAATGTCTGCTGGAAAAGCCCTGGGTAAGGATGCACACCTGGGAACGCTCCCATCTCCTACCATGAGAGCTGGATACAGCAAATATCCCAGTGAATGCCCCAAGATATTCAATCACTACAGCACAGAGGAAAAAGCGAGAGGGAAATAACAGATGACTACTGACATGTTCTCTGCCTTCAGACAGAGCTCCTCAAATGGTCAGTATTTGTGAACTGCAACATGAGGTTTTCTTTTGAACTAGTCCGTGGGAATTAATGAGAGCAGCCACTTATAGTTACCATCTTCTGAACAAATATTTCCTGCTAATCATGAAGCAGATCCATATTTAAATTGATAAACTGTGTTTAAAAAAAATATTAAGGGATATATCCATTAATTTCAAAAGAAATATCTTTAAAAGAAACATCACAGCATTAAATATCATAAAGTAAAATGTATTTATTTAGCAATTTTATAGTATAAAAAAGTTTTATGTTTTCAATAAGGCAATAGTAAGCATGAAATATGGAAGCAAAAATTAAAATCCCTCAATATTGTCACATTGTTGTTATAATTTTCCAGTACGGTAACCAATCTGAACAGAATCAAACCGGAATTACGTAGAGAGCTTTTAACAATTAATTTCACACCACGCATCATAAGCAGTGCTGTTATGATAAAATCCAATTCTAGCTACCAGAGCACAGCGTACCTGGAGGTTTAGTTTCCAAAGGCTATGTAAAAGCTTCATTGCAAACAACCAAGTTCCAAGGATATGCACAGTGAAAGAGCTGTCATACTTACCTGGAAGGCTTTGCTGAGCATGTGCTCCCCTTCTTTTGCCCCAAGTAAATTTACAATAATTTGCTTGCCATATAAATTTTTAAGAGTTTGAAAATGCCTGTTAACAGAATAAAAATTCCACAGTCATTTTCTGACACACAAAAAATTAACAGCCAACATCTGCAACACTGAGAAATTGCAAAGTATTCAACATCAATTTTATTCACACTTTCCAACAAAGCATTAAAAGGCATAAGTAATCCCCAGAAGTTCCTAGCTTAGTTGAATTCCACATTTGTATAGACAAAGCCCCCCATTTGGAATAACATATCCCACCTCTGTGATGCAGCAGAACTTATCAGAGGTTTTTAGTGCATTAGCAAAACTTTAGATGTTTTTTACCTGTCAAAAGCTGGTGCATTTGCCTCGAAACCCCGTGACATCCTGACACGATGGGATCCCACCTACAACACCAAGAGTACATTAAATTGTCTTGTTTTGAGTCAAATGCACGTGAATGTTTCAGCAGTTCTACTGCAAAATTCTGGTATGTCTAAAGAACCTAGAGTCCCTGTAAGGCACAAATTTTTTTTAACCTCTCCTGTAAAAAATGTGTCGCAGTAGTGGGAGCCAAATCAGTCCCTCTTTCAAGAAAATTGTGATGAAATTCTATTACAGTAATTCTTGACGCTTATTGACTTCTTGAAAAGACTTCTCCTCAAGAACAATTCATAAGAAAACAGCCTCTTTGGATGCCCTTAGATAACCCATTTAAAAGAGGAAAAAGAACTTCAAAGAGGTGACATGGAAAAAAGAATGGACATTCAAGTGGTGTGCAAAGCAACTTTTAGACTTGGAGAGACGCAGGCTTGGTGAGTCACAATAGCACCAACATGCTCCCAAAGGATCACCTCATCCTCACAGGCTACTGTGAAGAGGAGCCCAAAGGCTAGTATGAATAAGAATTATCTGTACAATTAAATCTATCTCCTGCTTACCTGCAGTCCTGGCTGTTCCCAAAATAAGGGAACAGATCCTCGAATCTGTATGAAAGATGACACAGAGTCATCCAAATATATCACCTGTTAAGGAAAGTAAAGCATAGTATTAATAATTATCACAGTGCAAGATTTTAGAATTCTTAGCCTTAACTAAACATGGAGCAAATAACATATATTTACATATTACATATTCCACACTACAAGCCAAAATATAGTTTCTGAGACTCTGAACAATTCTCACAAAAAGTTGTGTCACTCTCATGCTCCCTTGCAGAATCACAATTCACAACATGTACGGAAATACAGCTTTTATTATTTGGACTTGAGTAACTTCTGCACTAGGAGTAAGATGTTTTAAGCAAGTTGGTAAGACTTTTCTGCAGGAACAGTTAAAATGAATACCAGTGCACAGAAAATCACCGTGCAGCCTACTCAGAATACTTGCACAGATTTTCTGCATCAGAAACCAACATATCACGGTCCAGGAAAGGAAAACTAAAGTGGAATAACACACCACAGCCATTCAGTGATGCTGGCACACTAGGAAACATGGGCAGAGAAAGTGTAACAAGAGTGTTCTGACTAAACTCCTGAAACTGGAGGTGTACAAGTAGAGACCGCCCCGGCATGGAGTCCTCCTTCAGTCACCTGGGTTCTGGAAGGAGTCAGTGAGTCAGCCAAAAAAAAAAAACTAGGAGCACAAACACAGCCCGAGGAACAATCCTTCGGGAACAGGCTACCATGGAAAGTGAGCCTAGGAAAGCCAGCAAAGAAGGATTTAGCAGGTTCTCACATTTCTGTGTAATGAGGGCAGAGCTATTGAAAACCCAAGGCAGCAGCAGAATGACAGTGGCTTTACAAGCTGCCTTTCAGAGGAGCTCTGCTTAGTGGAATGCTTTATCTTTCCTGAGCCACAAAGTACCGCGTGTTTTTGGTATTTGCCAAAAATCCCTTCTGCCTGTGTCTTTTACTTTAGATTAGCTCAGGCCAGAAGTGGCACATGCTACCATGCAGCTCAAGGGGAAGTACAGCCACCCACAGGAGTTCAGCACCTTCTTAAGCTACTGCAACTCAGACCCAGGCATGCCCTGACCGTAAGCCACACTAAAAACCAAGATCATCAAATTACATAACCTACTTAGCTTCCTAATTTAGTATCAAAGAAACTATTCCAATATCTGCTGGTGGCAGACTTGACTTGTGATTTGTTGATTTAGAGCAAAAATCTCATCACATGGGGACCTACATTGGCTAGTCAGCCAAGCTACGGGCACTGGAGCATAACATACCTGCTCTGTTTCAACAAAATTGGCAACGTGACCATCATCATTTGTTCCCCGGACGTTGAACCGGGTGCCAGCCCGTTCACAGCTTAGTCGTGATATGAGACAAGCCTTCGCCTGCTTGTGAGCTGCATAAATTGTCCTGATCTCCACTCCTCCGCACATGAGGCGTAACAGCCATTCGTCACAGTTCACACCGTAGTGCTTCAGATGTAAATGCAGTGACTGGTTCCTAGCAGGGAGAAAACAACCATCAAAGAACCAGAAGGATTTACAATTCAGCTCGAACTCTTAAGCCAACTGCTAACGCCTTACATTTTACACCTTCTAACACAAAGAAGACCAGGAAAATAGGCATGCTAGATTGTGACGTAACTCATTTAAATCTTCCTGAAATAGCAAATAGCACAGTAAGAAGATGGAGTGAAGCTATGAATTTCCATGACCTTAAAATAGTAACCCTTATACCCCTTGCTTGTCGCCCACAAAAAAAAACAACACTCCAAAAGCTTGTTTATACTTCTCTGCCCAGCCTTATTTTGAGAAGCCAGAGATTACAGACTCGAGGAAAGCATGGCAGAGTTACAATGACAGGGTTACCTTTTTTCTAGTGTATAAAGCACCACTCAATCTCATACCACCACAAAATAAAGCTAGAATAGAAATTCTTATTAATATACATTGAATACTCTCATTATATGTCACCTAACCCTAGACAGGCTTTCAGGAATACATTCCCAGCCAGCAGGCTCTCATATATCTTTAAACACCAATTTCAGGGCTGAGTGCTGGTACATTATATACTGCATACATGATTCTCTAATACACATTAAAGGAGGATCCACAGTTTGAATGTACCCATGCATTTACCAGCACTAATCAATGCTGTATTAAGTAAGTAAGACTAAAGTTCAGGTTTTGTGAAAATTTTTGTTTGCCTCACTATAGTGGGGCTTGGCTTTTGATCTTCTTCAGAAACATTCACTTGCAAAAAAAAGGGAGCAAAGTTTTCTGCATAGCAAAGAAAAGCGAACTCTAGGAAGACATCTGGTTGTGTCTCTGCCCAGAAAATTCTACTGGAATTGCAAACAGCATGATCATTGTAACAGTGGAAGCTCTTTAATTTTAGCCTTTTCATCCTAAACCTAAGTATACAGATGCATTATAACAGGCCACTGAAAGCAAACAATATTCTTTCCCTGGGCACTCTGAGCCTAGATGTTTGGCACAGAAAAATCCCCAGGAAGCTCACTCAAGTGCATCTGCAGAATACTTCCTGTTCTTGACTTTTAGTGGTTACATTTGTAGATCTTGGAATCTGGACATTCCACCTACCTCCAGGGAGGACTGGTCCTTACTAAAAAAACCACAGAACCGGTAACTGCCAAAGTTTTACAACATGGGTCAGAATCAGCCCAGCTTATTTGGACATGGTCACCAGGCATCACTTCTCAAACCTTGATATACTGACTGATTAATGGAGAGCCAAGAATTTTTCCAGATGCCCAGACAAACAGCAAGGTTTCTACAACCCCTGTACACCTACATCAAGGAAATAATGTTTCTGAAGACCAGAGCTTATTTCCTACTTAGTAATTTTTTCTTATATTTCACTCTGATCGGATTCCTCTACCTGACTGAAATAGCAGCTAAGACTAGAGAAGCATTGGCTCATATGCTAGAGCTGGTTTGGTGCATTTTGGCCAGAAGAGGGGGACAGATTTAGCTTTTCACCTGTTCTAACAGTGTAAAGCCAAGTCTTCAGAACCTTTCCAAGACTCCTGGACATACAGAGCATTTTTAACAAAGGCTGAAGGGAACAGAATTTCTGACATGTCGATGTGCATTACCGGCATTATTTAAAGCTACTGATCGACAGAAAGAGCAGTACTCCTCTCACCGAAAAGTCTTTGTGTGAAAACAATACTTTATTCAAAAATATCCAGTAAAAGGATAGTAAGTGCAGCAGCCAAGCAAAGTGCACTTTGTAGCAGACCCTACCTGCTGTCCCAACAAAGCCTGCAATGTCACAATTTTTTGAGTAACAAAACTTTTGAAGTGCTTTCATATGTTGGAAACCCCCTTGGAATCTATCTATAAACACCACATCATTTTAGAATCCAGAACATTCTAAAAAACAGTAATTTTTTTTTCTTTGAAGTTTCATAACCACACCCATTTAAAAATGACACAATTCATTAATAATTAAGAGGCATCAAAACTGAAACACAACATCACAGGAGATAGATGAAAATACAACATAAGCTGTGAAAAATCTGTGCCTTCCAATTAAAAAACTTCCAAGTGGTCACAAAACCATCCTGCCATTAGTAATATACTTCTGCCCCTAGAAAATGTTCGAGTAATGCTATTCCATCTCAAGATTTGTGGGAGAAAGGTGTACACATAAGAGCTGGGAAAGACAAGGACAAAAACTTGCTAGGCATTAGTTTGTAGAAGAGTTCATTATGTAACACCTGCTGAAGCCATTCTGAACTCACCAGAAGAACCTATTGTCAGTGGTGTGCTCCTGCATGCTGCGGTGAGCACTGAGACTCAGGTCTAAGCTGACACCAGTGGCAGACCACGCAAAATAAAAGTTTCCAGAGTTCAGCACTTTGCGCACTTCTGAAATACGATCCTCGTCTGTTGGGTCAACCCGCAGTGACACAAACTCAGTGGAAGTAACTCGGAAAACTTCAGAGTCCTGAATCTTTCCTACAGACATGCATCCTGTTACCAGAACCAGATAATGTAACAGTGTGTCCCCTGCAAAACAAGAGAGGGCAGGAAAGAGAATGGATCTTAGCAGAGCAGATGTTGATTCATTCATGTGCTGAAGGCACACAAACCCACCCCAGTTTGCCTGAAAAATGCACAGAGAACCAACGCCAAGAACACATTCGCAAGCTCTACAGACAAAAAGGAGAAACTACTCTGCAAAGAACAGGGATTGCAAAAACAGAAGTTATTTTTGTCCACCCCCTCATTTCTGGGAGTGGTCCAAATTTGTAAGCTATTCTGCAAAGAAAAAAAAATCAAACCAAGAAAACAAATAGAAAGAAAGAAGCCCTGTTCCTGGTGCAAAGATCCAGTCTTACAGGAGCACCACAGTACTCTGCCCCAAATGAAAAATTCAGGTTTTACACATTTGACTCACCGAGATTTAATCTTAACACACCCAGGAGCCCATATGCATCCATGACTTTGGAGTATGTATTCTTGATTGTGTCTTTTTCTGCGGAAGCTGTGGAGAGAAAATGGAAGATTTGCTGATGTAAAAGCCCCAATGCTATGGCAGTGAGAACGAGCCACTCCAAACTGAAAACCTGAGGGATTATAAAAGCAGCCGCTTACGTTATGCTTCTGGAAAGAAATCAAAATGTATGAGCATATGGCACTTTATAATGGAAAATGAGGGTTTGATTCTGCGATGAAGTATGAACGTGCTATGTTTTTAAGCAATAAAAAAGCAAAACTCCAAGTGATATTGAAGGAGAATACTGGCATTTTTAACAACATCATCTCTTACTATAAAAAGTGTGTACAACACAGACAAATAAGACACCTGAAAATGCTTTCCTGTAATTAAAATTAGTGCTTAACTTTGCTTTTTTTCATGGAAAAAAAAATTACCCCTTTTCTCCAAGAATAAAACCATCATGTGGCAGTATTATCTCTGAACAAGACTATCACAAGTCCATTTTACCTATCTTAGATATATTCCAAGCAGATCAAAACTCTTGCAGGTCTATAAAAACTGGTATTTAAAACCCATGTCTTAGATGAATTAGGAAGACACAATTTTCACAGACAGTTTTGGAAAAAAAACCACAAAACAGCCCTGGCATATTTTAGAAGAAATAGAAGTACATCTGCCATTGCTCTCCTGGGAGTTAAGTGTATATTTTAGCCCTTTCATCAGCACTATAACACCCAGGCCCACCAGCCTGACTGCAGAGCAGCAGGATCCCACCTGTCCTGAGCTTTAGCTCATGACCAAGACTGCGCCAGAAGGCCAACAATAACAATTCCAGCTTTGCCACTGGATTTACAGAGATCAAGATTCCATGGTTACCAGCAATCAGCACCGTTTTGCTTTGACACTAAAAACCTCGGGACATGACATGAAGAAGAGTAAATCAAAAAGCCTATCTGCCCTGGCATTCTGTTGTGCTCTCTCTCACATTAGCTACATCATTTAGAATAGAATCTCTATTTTATTCAGAATAATAATAATAAAAAAACCTCTATTTTACATAGAATTGCTCTTTCTAACAAGTTTCCCTTAAGATTAGTATAGCCCAGCCTGTGCACAAGCCTACCACTTGTACAAATATCTGCCAGTTATTAAAGTGGATCAGACAATTTACAATAGATCAAACAATTATTTAACCACAGCTTGAAATTCAACCCCATTCAATGTTTTATTCAGTGATTTTTAAAAAGTTTCTTTACCTTATTGCACTAAAATTCATGTAATACAGATTTAATGAAAATAGGGGGTTTTAATATATTTTTTTTATAGCAGCATGAGGATGTATTTCTGAAGTCCTCACCCAGGGTGAGTGTTAAGAATCTGAAGCTAATCTAAAAACATTTTGTCAGCATCACCAAACTGTGTTTTTCTTAACCAGAAAACCACCAGGGTGGAACGAACTTCTAAACTTCAGACACTGGTTCCTTCAATCTGTTTTTGAGAAAGGGTTTAATGATACCAATTTACTCTTCTAAACTCAGTCTTCCATAACCAGAAAGCTGACGTGTTCTTCCTCCACACTTGAAATGATTATGGAAAGATCAGGTTTCGTTTCAAACTTCTTGCAGGATTTTTCTTAAACGTGCCTGCATGTAAGAACAATGCCTTTTCTGTCTTTTTTGGATTTATTCTTTTTTTCCGTTGCAGAGAATGCTGGATATCCTTGTTAAGCCTTAATAAGTAAATGCCCGAAGAAAATTAAGTAACACGGGCTTTGCAAATTCAGACCAACAAAAAAGGCCAACAAAGGCTAATAAAGCAGCAAAGGGTTGCAAAACCAACCAACTAACCCAATAAAAATAGAGCAACTTACTGTAGCTAGTCAATTATTATTTTCTTAAAGTGTCCAAGAACCAAACAAAAGCATTTCATGCCATGTTTTTCATTTACATTGGACCTAATTCAGTGTGAACTCAAAGCTTTTCCACAGTGACCATCTAAGTGTTTCTCTCTCACACTGCCCGCACTTTTCCCACCTCAATTTATTTTTTAAGGCCAAAAGTCACATGGGAAAATGTCAAATATGGCATCAGTTCCTCCATCCTGCCCTGGTCCATCCTTACCTACCCCAGGCTTCTGCTTTTGAGGCAGTGCCCAATAAGGAATGTCCTGTGGTCAGGAGTCTAACAACATCAAGGAAAAGCACTTGAAGCTTCTGAAAACCAAGATGAAATCAGGAAGACACAGCTTCACCACACCCCTTTCCATTCTCTTCCCAAAGGACTCTTACCCAGGTCAAAGTCTGCTCTCTAGAAGCCCAAGGCACCAATCCTGCTAACACTATCTTCAGCCCTCCAAAAATGGAAAAATTTTATCCTTTCATGATCACTATTAAGCCGTATCAAGAAACCCAAACCAAACTAACAAAAAACTCCACAAAATCACAACACTTACAAAGTGATTTTCAAATCAATTTATAATGTACCTCTGGAGAAAGCCAGAAAGCCCCATTTGCAGTGTTAAGAGAAAAACAACAAAATTTCAAGTCACTATTTATTAAGGATTAACAGGAAACAGCATTTTAAAATGCCATCTGAAACAAGCACCTTATCAATCACGGACTCTCATAAAAAGGTGAAAAATTATTTTGAAGGGAATATGTCAGCCCTCCCAGTGTTACAGAAGTGGAACCCCATCAACAATCCTGTTTTTAGGATAATCTGGTTCAACACATATTGCGCTTCATTCCAGATCCAGAAATCAGTTTCCCAGTTTTAACAATTAAAAGGTTCAGATCACATTGAAAGTCACCACGTAAACTCTATGATTGGGTTCTCTTCTTGGTGCGCTCACAGGGTGCTGTAAGACAACACATTTCAAGTTAGTGGCTACAGTTTCCAGCTACAATATGGGACTCTGAGCTGGGAACAAAACCACAGTCCTGAAATTATGTGCATTTCCTTCAGACCCAAGACTCCTAACTTACATTACACGAGACAAAAGTCCACACAACTGTCATTTTAAAATGTTTAGAATCTGAAAAATCTGGGGAAAAAAGTGAAAAATTTATGAACGCAATTTGGTTTTTATCTTTTAAGACCAAGGTTTTCAAGAGTTTTGTCAAATTAGGACAGTTAGATTTTTGGTATTTAAATTAAACCTAACACCTGAATATTACCACAGAGGTGACATTAAAATCAGAATAGAGCCACCACTTTCATCTATTAAATTAGCCAACCAAAGAACTATTTTTTTACTTTTTCTACGTCTTTTTTTTACACAGCCCTAGTACTGGCTCAGCTCAAGATGCTGGGGATGAGAAAACCCTGCCAGATTGCTTTTCAAGGCCTGCTGAGACCACCTTGGTTTAACCGCGTGGAAGAATTTTCTTCCTAAGAAGTGGTGTGAGCAGCACTGCTAACCACAGCAGCGAACAGCTGTCAGGGTGCCTGCTGCACATGGATTACTACAGCTCTCACTTCAGCTCCAGAGAGCCCAGGTGGGCCCTGTGCCTCCTCCTGCTCACAGCTGCTCTCTCCTCAGCTTTACTGTGACTCTGAAGTCCAACGATGTGCGTGACATTTCTGCTCGGGGCACTCACGGCTCTGTTTTCCCAGACAGAATGTTCTCCATGGCAGGCAACGGGAGCAAAGACAGTTTACCACTCATTTGGGATGACTCACCAGCAGGGAGATGGAGAGAGAACACACTCCTGCCCAGCCAGGGAAACCTCTCCAGCTAAGACATCTCAGAGAATCCTATTTCAAAAAATAGATATACTGCCCATTTCACATGGAAAGTAAGAAAAATAGATCTATGACACCCTCCCACTAAATTACAAAAAAATCAGCAGTGAAGCTGCTGACATACCCAGGTGCTCTCAACAGGCTTTGAGAAGAATCCCCCACACTCCAGTGTCTTGGGCTAACCCAATTTCAGAACTGTGCTGACCAAAGAGGTGTTAAATGTACAAAGGAAAGCAAAGTACTCCTCACAGCAACATCAATTAGTTCACACAGAACACCTCCAGGAGAAGTACGGCCTGGGCAGCTCCCATATTCAGACTGAGTGGTTATACAACCACCACCTCTGAACTATCCCTTCGACCCTCCTCCTCAGTTCCCTCTGACTTGGCTGCCTGGAGCAGCACATGGCACACACACTGAAAATCACCCAGCATCTGAGCTGCGCAGTATTTCCTGCCAAGGCTCAACTAAATCCTCTGAATCATCTTGCAGTGTCTCACCGAGGGCAGGAAGGGAGGAAGGTTAACACAGTTATCCTTCCCTCAGCAAAATGACAGATGTGCTTCCTTTAAGATGACACTGAAGTGATCAGTAAACTTCCATCCCATTCTCTTAGCCCATTTCAAAGCTAAATTTCTGTACATGGGTATTCCAAGGGGTGCAGTTCACTTAGGCGCTCAGAACTGAACCACATAAATCAGTTTTAATGCTAAAATGTATTTCACTAGGCTGTGCATATATTATCCACTCTACATACAGGTAATAACTGTGATCAGGTATAAGGCTAAACATGTTACTTCTTCTCCAGTATTTATTAAAATATTTGGAAAAATGTCTAACAACTTTGAAGTCAGTATTGTCAATTTTTGTAGTCTAAAAAGTGGTAGCACCATCATGAACACCCAGAAGTTTTTGACAGTTTAAAGTGATGCTGTTCTGGATTTAAATTTATATATACTTGATCTGACCATTTATCTATCTATTCACAGGGATTTTACAAACATGGGAAATCTTCCCCAAGGGACAGTAGTATTGCATTAACTTTGTTTATTATTTGTACAAATACCTGTTAAGTTTGTACAGCTACAGACTGGAATCTTCTGGCTGGATTCTGGCTGGTGACATGACCAGCGAGACAGAGAAGTAACATTTCACAAATCTTCCCAAAGTACTAATAATTGTACTCCTTTAAACATGCATTAAAAAGAACAGATACCAGATGGGAACAGCAGGCAGAAAAAGAGAAGAAAGAAACCTGAGCTAGGGGACTCCTGGGCTTTTTCTGCTGTCAGTTTCAGATTGTGATCTTCCAACCATTAAGAAAAGTATCAGTACATAAAGAATTAAGGGAATTATATGGAAATAAAACAGAGGGAATTAAGGAAAAATGCCACTGCTCAATATTCAGTGGAAAACTATGCCCGTGTACCAGACAGAAAAAGAGTAACCAGTTTCCTGGTTAAGCTTACTGAAAACAATACCCAGTAACTACTTCCAGCTGAGTGTGAACATTTGCTATGACGTAACCTACCAATTAGAATTCCAAGGACAGCGCTTTGCAGATTAATAATGAGCTATCACTAAGTACAGAACGAAAGAGGAGAGAGGCTTCCAAACTTCTTCAGGTCTGGCTTCCTCTGCTTGGTAAAACAAAGCCAGGAAGCGGGCAAGAACTTTGACGTGGGTTTTAATTTTTAGGAAAGGACATTTATCCAGGTGCCTGCAGTATATCCCGGCAGGAGAAGTGATTTACTGCCCTTTTTGAGCATAACCTTCAGAAATAAAAAATTTTTCATCTGTTAGACCCTAAGTAGCTCAAGCATAATAATTACTAAACACAGGCTAAAACAATCTGTTCCACAAATCTTGAAAACATTTTATGGCTTGCATGAAACCTGATTGCTAACTTTATGACTAGACACTTATTCCCAATCCACACTACAGTGCCTCATGGATACTGCTACCAAAGTCAGGGAGATTACTTAAGTACATAGTAAGAAGAAACTGTAACAGAAAAAAAAGCAGAATTTTAAAAAGAGGAGAAAAGCACACACTGTTCACCTGGATAATCATACAGCTGTAGCAACCATGCAAGTCATTGCCTGCTTGCAACAGCTTCTGGCTAAGGAGAAAACTACTTCCATGGAATGAAAGCTTTCTATAGAGGAGCCAAAATTGAGCTCTGAAATGCTGTGCAACTAGGTGCTTTGGCTTCCTAAAGAACACAAACATATGTTATAATTTTACGTATTTTAAAAGTCTATGTATAGGCCTTATGGTTCTCTTCTGCACTTTAGTGTTCTCCAGCAAAAAAATAAAAAAAGGGGAGGGGGGGAAAATTTAGGAGGGGGAATCTGATGCATTTTTCACTTAAAACACGTAAAAATAACTTTGCAATGCAAGGCATCTGGCTCCAAATATTACTCATTTTATTACAAGACAAAGCAATACCAAGTCTTGAGGGAGGTTAAAAATACAGGGACAAAATAAAGCTAAAAATCACACAAAATGAAATAAAACCAAATTATTATATAACATTTAAGAATATAGCATTTATTGCTGTGAAATGCAACATAGAAATTAGCTCATCAATGAGTTATCACATGTTCAAAACAGGGTTTTTCAGAACCCAAGAAACAAGGTGATATGGGAGATCTAATTATAAGAAAATTTAGTGGACGTGAAAATATAGATGTATAAAGAACTGTAACGAAATGCGCAAAATTCTCTCTCAACAGATGAATATAAGAAAATGCCTCTTTTCTCATTTAAATCAGAAGCCTCTCCATTACCAAACAGAAAAACAGAACAGTTGCTTCTTTACATTCCACAAACAAAATGGCTCACACAATGTCAAGTCTGCCACCTTTCTAACACAGTAGTTACTAAAATAGATCAACTTACAGAGGACAGCCACAGCTCCAGACTCAAACATGAGACATTCTTCTCTGTTCCTGGTTTCCACAATCACGCTGAAGGGAAGTGGATCCAACTTGTGATAGACACGGTATCCTTTACTGAAAGCCATTTTGCCTCAAACACACGGCCCTGGCCAACACAAGATGATGTTAATGAAACCTCCCTGTGCTTCTAGACACCTCCTGCAAACTTGGTTTTTGACCCACGGCCTTTCCTAGAGATTTAACATGTTCAACAAAAACAAACAACAAAATCCCCTGCTCCCTCATTCTACCTCATGAGACTTAGTTTATCTATGTCCAAAAAAAAAAAAAAAAATTACAGGGATTACCTAAAGATGGCATAAGAGTGTTTCAAAACCAGAACTACCCAGAGAAACACCTTTCAAAATCTGGATTTATTTAAAAGCGTCTTTGAGACAAGTAGAATTTTACAGAATCCCTGGCTTGTTCATCCAGTTCCACCCCTTGCCATGGGTAGGGATGCATTCCACTATCCCAGGCTGCTCCAAGCCCTGTCCAACCTGGCCTTGGATACTTAAAGGGATGGAGCAGCCACAGCTTCTCTGGGCACCCTGGCCCAGGGCCTTCCCACCTTCTCAGGGAACATACCTAAATCTAATCCTACTCTATTTTAGTTTAAAGCAATTTCTTTCCCAAAAGTTAATAAATAGGATTTCTCCTTAGGGAAATAAAAAATAAAAGGTTTTCCAGCTACCAGCAATATGGAAGAGTAGCAACCACCTCAATGGCAAACCAATGCCAAAAACAGAAGGGGAGCCTTCAATTTTTAGATCTATTCCACTAATTCTGCCCTTGTACAAAAAGACAGTATATTTTAAACACTGAAGCCGTCAAGGCATTTTAAAGGACCGTACAAAAACGTCAACGTATTTTCGGCTTTTTCCCCCCCCATTTTTTTTTTTAAATTAAGGAAGGGTTTGATTTGGATTTAAACCCTGCCCTGCGGCGGCTGAAACATCGCAGTGTTGTATTGGTGACGCTGCCCGCCAGCCACACACGAGTGAGACCTTAAAAAAAACCCACAAAACTCTCATACTGCAGCAAATCATAAATAAACGCGAGAACAGCCCAGTTTTCCGTGCTAAGGCTCGGGAAAACGCAGCGAAGGAGGATTGCTCCGGAGCACCCGGAGCGGGTAATTGCGCCCTCCCTTCCCGGCAGTTCCCCGACCTCCGGAGCGGACACGCACGGCCTGCTTCGGCCTCTCCCGGGCCCCGCCGCGGCCGGGCGCGCTCAGGTCACGGCCGAGCCGCGGGCCTCCCAGGGCCGGGCCGCCGCATTCCCGCAGAGGGACGCGCTGGGCAGCGCCCGCCCCTGCGCAAGCCTACCTGCCGCCCGAGCGCGTACGAGACCTCCGAGCCCCAGGCCGGCCCCGCGGTACCGCCACTCTCACCGTGCGCCCGCCGCCGCGGAGCCGGCGGAATCCACTTCCTCCCGGCCCCGCGTCCTTCCGCACTGCGCCGCCCGCCCCGGAGGGGAGGTGCCGGGGGGCGGACGCTGGGCCGAGGTGGGACGGAGCTGCGGTTTTAACGAACCGAGCCCAATGCTGAGCACAGCCACGCCCCGGTCCCGCTGCGGGGTTATTACGAGGAGCAGAAGCCAAGGGACAGACTCAGGAATAGCCGTGCGGACTGAGCCGCCACTGAGCCACCTCGCTGGGCAAAGGGCTGCGAAACTCACAGCCCTCGGGTCGAGGGGGAGCCCTCTGAAACCGGCGTCTTGCTAACTGCAGTCATGGAATAGAGCCGTGGAATATCCCGAGTTGGAAGGGACCCACAAAGATCATCGCGTCCACCCCCTGTCCCTGCACAAACACCCCAACAATCCCACCCCGTGCATCCCCGACATGGCTCTCCAAACGTTCCTGGAGCTCTGGCAGCCTCAGAGCCATTGCCCTGAGGAGCCTGGTCAGTGTCCAGCACCCTCTGGGGGAATAACGTTTCCTGACACTCAGCCGAACTCTCCCTTAACAGAGCTCCAGCCGGTCCTATCACTGTTCACAGAGAGTAGAATCAGAGCTGGCCCTGATCTGCAGACCCCTAAAGAGTTCTCAGCTCAATCTCTTCTCCAGCTGAGCAAGCCCACTACTCTCAGCCGCTCGTGTGGCTCAACAGGGTCTTAGCGAAGAGTGCGCAGTTTCGGAGGCAGATTCCACAGCTGCCCGAGCCAAGGGGATTTTCCCCGCTCCTGGCGCAGCTGCCGCTGGCACGGCAGGAGCAGGGCGGCCGAAGAGAGCGACCCCCGCGTTCTGTGCTGCTGGCCGCGCTCCGGCGGACGCGGGGGTGGACAGGGGCGGAACTGCAGCCCGCGGTGTCGCAGCTGTTCCGGGGCCCGGCAGGTGGGTACCGCCCGCAGCTCCCGCTCCATCGGCCCCGCAGCCCCCGCGCTCCCAGGCAGTGTTCATCACCGAGGTTTGGCTGCAGACCGTGCTGGGGCCGGGTTTTGTCAGGCAGGAGGATTTTTGTTTGAGGCTCCTGGGAGCTACGCTCCCGCCGCTCCCTCCGCCAGCGCAGCAGCACCCATCACTCACGCTACGTCCCAAGCCACACACCAACCCTTCCACCGACACCGCCCCCACGCGTCCTCTCGTCATCCCATTGCCCAGTCCCCCGTTGCGTCATCGATCCGCCCCTCCATCGCCCCACCCCCGCATTTCGTGCCGGACGTCGCCCGGCCACGCCCCTCCCGGCGAGATGGAGATAGCTGTTCCCAGACGCGTTTGTGGTCAGAACAGCGGCAGCAAACGCGCTCTGTGGAACGCAGCACCAACAGAAAAGAGGCGGGGATAACGTTCGGGGCTGGCAGGGCAGCACTGAGCAGGTGGACTCGAGGGTGTCACATTACAGGCTGAGGAACAGAGAGAGCGGTGGAGTGCTGTAGGGCGAGAGAGCCCACAGTGAAATTATGGGGTACAGATTGGGATATACGGTAGAGGAGAGGTACACTAGTCCTCACCTCTCCCCCAGCCCTTACCTTAAACGCCACCCGAGCAACTGAGGGGCAGACGGGCATCTTGAACAGCCAAGCAGGGGCTCGAGGGTGAGAAGCTGAGAGCAGAGGAACAAATAACAGGTGAGCTTGGCAGTGACACAGAGAGACTTTAGAGGTGAACAGCTTTAAGGCTGGAGAGCACACAGTGAAAATGAGTGGTACAGGTTAGGATATAAGGTAGAGTACAGGTGTAGCAGCCATGGCCCAAACCTAAACAGCAGCCCTAAGAATAGACCCATTTCCCTGAGAGGAGCTGCAGGCAGCCGCTCCAATGCAGGGCGATGGCAAAAGCGATCAGAGGTGCAGGCAGTAACCCTAATGCTAGAGCTAGGCAAGGGGTGATTGGGGGGGGGGGTAGGGTCCACAGGGCCAGGGATAACCGGGGGATTCCCACCCTGGAATGCCTTGGTCCTATCCAGTCTCTAAGGCATCTCTGCCCTGCTGCATAGTGTTGGGAAGGATAGATAAATATGATTGCCTAGCAGAAGAACCACAATAGTACAGCCAGGATGAATATAACGCCCCCTACTGGCTGGACAATAACCTTACCTACAGATAGGTCCAAAAGTCAAATGGGCTGTTCCATCTCACCCCCCAGAATGTATGGTTCACCCCACACCTGTAACCCTCCCCTGAAACATCAAGTGTCTGTGACCCCATTGGCCCAAGTCTTGTTCCAGCCCACCTTGAAGCCCCCTGATACGGGGTCTCCGAGGGTCCAGACGCCCTCTTGGAACTTCCCCTCCTCTCTTGGATTCCCCTCCCCTCTTGGAACTTCCTCCTTCCTCCTGGATCCCCCCCTCTTGGAGTCCCTGCTCTTCCTTTTGTCTCTCCCTTCCCCCATCGCCTCTGGCCCTGCCACGTGCTGTGTCTAGCAGCTCGAGGCAGGGCCTCTCTCCATCCCGAATAAACCCTATCTTCCAAGAGCAACCAACAGAGATCTCTTGTCTGTATCCACCCAAACCGTCCTGCAGCCCTCCTATGTCTTTACAGCATAGCCTCCTGTAGGCATGATATGGCATGTCTGGGGCCTGGAAATTTGTAATGTAGGCTGTATTTGGACTCTAGATGGGATTTGTAGATAGATAAAGGATATCTGGAGCTGTTGAGTTATCCTGCAGTGCTCTGACTTTTATCCTAACATTCTTTCAGATGCAGCCAGCTGGAATCTGTGGCAGAGGGCCCATCCCGGCTGAGGGGGTTCCCCTGAGAAGGTCAGTCACTGTTTGTCTTTCAGGGGAAGTCTAAATGGTGACTCTGTGTTACAGTATTGTTCTTTGTCTTTCTTTTTAGGAACTAAAGCCAGATATTAGCAGTCAAGGTAAGTGGGCAAGGTGAGCAGTGACTGGCAGCTGGCAGCAGTTGTTATTGCTCAGGTCTCAATTTCAGGTGCAGCTCTTAGCCTCCATTCTTGTTTGTGTGCATTAGGCAGTCCACTCGTGTTACACGGAGGCCACATCAGCAAGTGGGCAACAGACCCAGTTTGTCACTTCCATGGGAAGTGATGTTGTGAAATAAATTTTTGTTGTACTAACTGGGTATTTTTTTAATGTATTCTTGTTATGTTAGGTCTTAGTTGGATTAATTGTTTTAAAATGTAGATTTGATATTTTGAGGTAAGTTCTTTGTGGTTTTGTGCTTTTTGGTTTTTTTTGTAACTAAATATTACACAAGTTTAAGAATGGGCAAGGAGACCAGCTCCTTTTTAACGCCTTTATTAAAGTGACCAGCTCCGGGTAGGTGCTCTGGGGATAGCGCACACCGCCACTGCTCCCTTCGGCGAGGCAGAGGAGGAGGTGTTCAGTTTTGCTGTACAGCAGAACTGGAGCTTCCATCCTCGCGGGCGTGCCTGGGAAGACGCTTTTGGGCTTGTCGGCTAGGGTTTTTGCTCTCAGTTGGTACCACTTAGGATAGGACGATGCTCCGGGGTTGATTCTGCAGCACTGGTAAGGTAGGAGGACTTCTTCCCGATGGCTAAAGTCCATTTGTTGTTCAGGTCTTAAGTTGGCTTGTTTCCTTTAGGGTTTTTTCTGAGTTTCTGGTCACAGTCCTTAATTTGCATATTCTTGGGGGTACTCCAGTCGCCATTTTGGGGAGCAGCGGAGGTGTTACCCGGTGGTCGCAACATGGATGACAAATACAGTAAAGGGGCACAACATAGGGAGAGATAAGGGAAACATCAACGGGGATTTAACAGGTAATAACAGTCTTAATTAACACTTTTAACTTTAAATTCTTTTAACTTGTTTATAACACTTAACTAATGAACTTGTTCATAACACAAGTATTAATTCAAAATGATTTTAGTAATTTTAATTTTTGTGGTTTAACTGTTATTTGGGGTAAGAGTGTATAAATGTTAATTGAAGATTATGTTATGTGCAGGATTTTTTTATTTCAGGTTAAAGTCTGTGAGGGATAAGGTTAGCTGTGAAGAGGTATACTAACAAGGCATGTAGAAAATACATTTTTTTAGGATTGGTGACCAATAAACACGGTGTGTTTGGATGGATGGTTTTAGTTAGTGTTACTTATATGTTTTGTTTTGGTTGTGGAACTATTTCTCTTGGGGTTTTTTTTTTGAGTATTTTCAATAAGGTTTGACCCAGTGAGTAGGACTGTCGTGTAGTTTATTTTTTGTGGAAACATAAGTATACCTTTAGGTTATGAAATCGACGGGACTACTTTACTGACTACTTACCAAGTCTTTTTTAGGAGTAGGTTTTTGTAAGTCGGATTTTGAAATCAAAGAAGAAAAATGACAAGACGAAGGAGGTAGAGAAGTTATCTCCTTATAGGATAAAAAGGGTTTAACATAGCAACTGCTTTGTCTAATGTTTGCGTGGGGTGTTTCCGTGCGACGGCCGGGCCGCTCGCGGGGCTCGGCAGCAGGAGAGCCCCGTGCCACGCGCGCTGAAGGTGAGGCGGCGCCGCCCGCGGGGAGCCGAGCCGAGCTGAGTCGAGCCGAGCTGCGCCTAACGCAGCGAGCGGATCCGAGTTCAGCCGAGCCGAACCGAGCCGAGCTGTGCTGAACGCAGCGAGCGGCTCCGAGTTCACCTGAGCCGAGCTGTGCCGAAGAGGCGAATCCAGCCGATAATAGCCGAAAATAGCCGAGTCTCACCGTGCCGAGCCAAACGCAGCATCCCGGGCAGGGCGGGGCGCCGGGGCGGGCTCGGGGTGGAGCCGAGAGGCTCCCTCTCCTGTCGCTTTCTTTACCCCTCTTTCCTTCTCCACGTATTCCTCTTCTTTTTCTCTTTTCCCCCATTTCCCGCTCTCCCCCAAGCAACCCCTTTACCATCCTTTCCCGCTATCCTTCCTTCCTCCTCCCCTCCCTTCTGTTCTTTGTCCCCCAGACCCTCCCCTCCTCTCCCTCCCAAACCCGACCCCCACTGGCCTCACTCCTTCCTGTCCTGTCCCTGCCCCGCTACTCCGTTCCATTCCCCCTCTCTCCCTCCTCTGTCCACCGTCCCTCTTCCTCCCCTGCCGGCCTTTCCCTTCCCCTTCCATATTCCTCCACAGCCCGACCTCCCTCCCCACCCTTTCGCATGCCCCGCTCTCCCTCCTCTCTTCCCGTCGCCCCTTCCCTTCTTTCCCCCGCAGCCGCGGGGCTCGGGGCGCCGGAGAATAAAGCCCAGAGGGCCGGAGCCCGGCGCCCCCCGGCCCTTGCGGGAGTCCCCGCACGGAGCCGGAGGCTCTCCGCGGATCCCCCCGCGCCGCTCGGACACCGCCCGGCGCTGCCGGACCTGCGGCTCCGCCACCATCGCGCTGAGAGCGGCGCCCGCTCTGTGCCGTGCCGGCCGTGCCACGTCCCCGCCGCTTCTGCCGCTCCCAATTTCTGCCCCTGGCCTGCGACAGCGAGGCGGGGCAGGAGCTTCAACCCTTCTGGGGGCTGCCCCCCACCCCTTTCTTGCTGCGGCAGGGTCCCTTTCTGGGGGGGATGGAGGTGTGGAAAGGGCTGGAAGGGAGTGCTGGGCTGCTGTCCAGGGCAGTTGGACTCGTCCTGTGCCTTCTTTGGGGGTCAGGAAAAGGGGGTGAAGACTCGGGGCTCTGATGTCATTTGGGGCACCCCAAGGTCCCTAGGAGAGGGAGGCACACTGCGGTGGTGGAGCAGGTGGATGGTGAATAAGGGGGGGTCATGCTGGGTACCGTCCCCCAGAGGGACCCAAAGCTGCCCCAAAATTCCCAGGGAGGGGTGTGTGTAGAATACTAAAACCTAGCAAGTGTTTCGTTTTTATAGGTATTGGTAAAGAATAGGATTTGTCTCTAAATTCATTTGGAAAGAAACCCCGAGCAGCCCCAGGTATGAGCTGTGAGGATGAGGAAGGGGCGGCTCCTGCCGGGGGCTGTTTAAGGGGGTTTGCCTCAGCTCACTTTTGCATGGAGCTGCTGGAGAAGAGGAGTTTATGGGGGGGCTCCCGGGGCTGTCCATGGAAGGACGGTGAGCGCTTCGGACAGGGTCCGGGGGATCACCTGGATACGCACTTGGATACGTGGAGCATTGCTCAAAAGAGGTGCCGTGGGACAAACCTTTGTGCTGGGAAGAAGCAGCCAAACAGGTGAGCCGATGTGCCTTTGCAGGGGGAACTTTTCTCCTTTCCCTTTTAAATTTCGTTTTGCCAATCCCTCCCCGGTGCCCCCAGGATTAAAAAAAAAAAAAAAAAAAAAAAAAAAAAAAAAAAAAAATTGAGTACAAAAGAAATTCAGATTGAGGGGACCGACTTCTCTTCCATTATTGACTGTGTCTGAACTAGTGGGGGATCCCTCTTCACTTGTGGTTTTGAGGTTATTGATTGAAGGAAAACCTGCCTTTTCCAGGTTGTTAGGGGTGTCACAGGGGTGACAGGGAATCCCTGTGTTGTATTTTAAATGGAACAGGAAAAATATTCTTGTTGTATGATGGGTTTGACTTGACGGTAGCCCGCCCATTTTCATCATCCTGAGGTTTAAATGGAGGGGGCAGTCCTATTGTCCCTCCTTTTAAAGGGTTTGGATTGAGGTAAAAATCCCCCTTTCCCCATAATTTGTGTCGCTGGCCGGGGGACCTTACAAATCACGAACGAGACGGGACAGCTGAGGAACGCATCTCGAGCTGTTTCATTTTCTTGAATCACACTCATTACATGGTCATGACAATGGGAAGGTGCCAGCGGCTCAGATCCCCGGCAGCAGACAAAGAAGGTAATGTTAGAATTTACTTTAAAGTTTTTTGACCAGTCACACGGAGCAAAAGCATCTTGACACTAGTTCTATCCAACCACTATAAACACACGTACCTTTGCTTAAAACAATGCTCGCGTATTTCGAATACAATACCTGCTTGTAAACCTTAAAACACAGTGCACAGAGCTCCATTCTTAAGCTTAGAACTTCCTAGTATCTCACTAGATATACTTTTCTGTAGCTTAGGGAGTTATTCTAGACAAGCATTAATTCACAGACCATTGTTCTATTTGTAGTTAACTTCTGCTTATATAATTTTTCTGCTGACAAATCTTATGTCTACTACCTCGCTCTAATCGCAGTTCTGCTGTTTCTGAGGCCTGTCTTTTGCAGTTTTTCCAAAACCCTCTGATTTTAAAGATTGCCACCGTTTGAAGGCTTTCATTTGAGGAAAGCCCCTTCTTTTCTGCTCTTATAGGGGATGAAATTGAAGGGGAGACCACATTTATTTGCCCTTGTTGAAGTGAGGTGAGCACCTGAGTGTGGCGTCAGTTTCGGGGCTTCAGTGGAAGGAAGCTGCAGCTCAGACAGCGCTGGAAAAGTGGAAATGGGGCTGTGCCGCTGCATTTGGGGGCGCTTCTTCTGCCCCTGGCCCGGCAGCGAAGGGTCCGGCGCGGGAGCCCTGCTGGCAGTGCCTGGGGATGGCCGAGGCGGAAGGGGAGTTTGGCGCGGCTGGGCTGCCGCGGGACTGCCGGAGCCGCGCCGGTGCGAGCCGTGCGGAGCCGAGGGGAGCTTCCGCCGGGCCGACGGGCGGGGCAGGCGGCGCGGGCGCTGCGCCGGTGCCGGCCGGTGCCGACTGCTCCGTCCGCTCCGGCACCGGGTTCGGGCGCCGCCGGGGCCCCCCGGGCCCAGTGCCGGCCCCGCCAGGCCGGGAGGAGCGGGTGGGGGTCTCCCGGCGCGGCGCCGCCTCTGCCTGCCGGAGGAGCCGCCGGAGGAGCCGCTTTCCTGCCGGGAGCCGCGCTCCGCCGATGCCGGGAGCGCGGGTTTTCATTTTCTAGAGTTCCTTGCTGTAGTGGTTTTGAGGAATTTATTGGATCGTTTTATTTTGTTCGTAGTTGGTGTATGAGAAGGGCCATGGTGTACTTCTTGGTTGTTATGGTTTATTATATTATAGATGTTTTATTAATTCGGTTTATTTGACTGTCGTGTATGTTTTATTGTTGCGGGTAATTTGGGAGGCATTTTTAAGGTTACATTTGTTTTTTGGCATTGTGTTTATTTCTCGGTGTTATTTTCGTTTTGATGGTTTGAGGCATTGTGGGTTCATTGAGTTAGGAATAATTTTTTTGTTGTTGTTAATATAAGGGTTTTTTTTGTAGTTTGATGTATTAGGTGGTTCTTTTTTATTCGTTTTATTTTTGGGAACATAGGTATTTATATGGTGGATTTTTTTAGGTAGTTGTTTTATTTGAGTGATGCTTTTTGGTTTCTTCGTGCTTTCGATTTTTTATATCGGTAATTATTTGGTGTTTTTTTTAGTTAATTTTATACCGTATTGGGTTCTCTTGATGGGTTAGTGTAGTGGTAGAGTTTTGGCTTGTTTTTCTTTTTTTTTAGAAACGTTCAGGGTCTATTGTATGGTTTGGAGTTCAGTAAGTTGGATTTTTTTTTTTTTTAGCGGTTTTTGTGATTCGCTGTGTGGGTTTCTAGAGGTTTTTTTAAATTTTTGTTTCATTTTTGTGATGTGATAAAAATTGTTAATGAAAGGAGTGTAGTGTGGGGTTTTTTTGCTGGTAGTTTGTTGGCTGGTGGAGCCTTTCTGATTTTTTTTGGACGATATTGGTGGGAATTTAAAGTTGTTTTGGCATTTTCTTTTTAGGACTTGGATTTAAAATGCATAATTAATAGTTATAATGAAAGAAAACAAATATATAAATATAAAAATGGGTATATAAACTTAATTTAAAAATATAAACAGAATACATATACCATAAATAATATTGTATATTACCATAAGACATTATAATGTTTGATGTAGAGTATTTATATGTTTATATAAGTACATATAAATATAGATTATAAATATAAACCAAATCCATATAAAATATCAATATAGAAATGTATAAATAATATATGTATATATATAGAAATATAAAATACAAAAAAATACAAAATCATAGAAATCGATACAATACATAATACATATTATACTGTATATATATATTATAACACATTATATGTCATATATATTATATGTCTAAATGCATGTCCTAGGTTGACTGTATGATGCCTTTATCCCAAATCGTCTGCCCTGTTTATGTTGAATAATAAGTTCTACACCTTTAAGACTTGTTCCAGGAGCGAAGGCGGGGGGGCGGGGGAAGAAGCGCGGAGTTTGTTTTTCAAGAACTGCACTCCCTCCTCCACATTTCTGCTCCTGGACTGTGTCGTCTGCGGACAGACAGACAGTGAGACAGAGCTCTCCTTTGCTTTTTCTAGTTAGTTTTAGCTAGCTGAGGCAAAGAAGTTCCCTGGACTGTGTTTTTTCCCTTTCTCTGGACCTGCTCTGGACTAAACACCAGAAGAGCAGCAGCAGCTCGCACCTGTGGTCCAGTGGGCCGGGCCTGGGCCGTGGCATTTCCAGCGTCGGAGGGACTGAGCAGACTGAGCAAGCCCAGCTGCAGCCCCGGGGATTTTCCTGAGTTTGTCTCTCTCTTGGAGTGGCGAGAAGTTTTATTGTTTAACATTGTTTAAGTTTGCTTGTTTAATAAACAGGTTTTTCCCACTTTTCTCCAAAGAGGTATCTTTCCCGAACTGGTTGGGGGGAGGGGCCAATTGAATCTGCTTTCCTAAAGGAACCCTTTTAGGGTTCTTTCCCCAAATTTTCCCTGAACCAGGACAATGCATAATATTTTGTAAATATTGTATATACAAAATATATTGTAATATAATAGATAAGAACCTAGTAATGTAAATATCAAAAGCATCAATATAGAAATATTCAAATATACTTTAAAATAAAGGGCTTTTTATTTCAATTTGGTAGTAGGCAGGGTTTTTTGTTATAAAAATTATTAATATTAATAAAATAAAGTTAGAAATCTACGTATAGAAATATATCATACATACTTTAAGATCTATGTAAAAATGAAAATGTAAGTAAATAGAAGTATTAGTGGTATATATGAAATAAAATGTAAATAATAATTTCTCTATCTTGTTACCTTATTATATATATTTATAAATATAACACATCAATATAAGGTATAAATCCAAATGTGAATATAATTATGAAAAAATAGATAAATATTCAAATATCGTTTTAAGAAAGGGCTTTTTTTGGTAGTTATTTAGTTAAAGGCAGGGTTTTTATTGAAAAAATATTAATATACATTTTATTTTTATATAATTCGAAATATAGAAATATATAGTCAATTTATAAAGATATCTATAAAAATAAATAGAAATAAAAAGTAATAGGAAGAGAGAATATAAATAACACTATACATCAGTCTACATTTAAAATGTATATTTGAATATAAATGCAAAAAATAGAAATGAAAAAAAAAATTCAACACAGTTTAAAATAAACGGGTTTTTTTAGGTTTTTATTTGGGTAGAGGCAGGGGTTTTATTTTAAACAATATAAACCTTTTAGAAATATAAATCTAAATATAAAAATATATAATCAGTATATTAAGATATGTATAAAAATATAAATTATAGTAAAATATAATAAATAGGAATAAATGTAAGAAATGATAAACTTATCATTATACAACAATATAAATTATAAATAAAAATGTGAATAAAATATATTGAAATATAGTTTAAAAGAAAATGTTTTTTCTTTTGGTTCTTATTGGGTTAGAGGCAGGGTTTTTTTGTTGGTGTGGTTTTTTGTGCGGGATGTTTTGGGACATTTATTGTAGAGGATGCTTTGAAGGGGATCGCGCCTGTTCTTTTTTGCCGCCTTCCCTGGCTTTCCCCGCCCCTCCTGCCGCCCTCCTTGGAAGGTCAAGCGAGTCCCCGTCCCCGTCCCGCCGCCTCCCCGTGCTTCCCCGCCGTCTCCACTCTCGCACAAACCCCCCCGCCTCCAGGCCCCGCTCCGGTGCGGGGAAGTGCAGGAAAACACGGAAGCACCGGGGCAGAACCGGCGCTGGAGGTGCCCGAGCCGTCTCCCTGCCCGCAAGAGCAGAGGTGCCCGCCGCCGTGCGCTGACAGGTACGCAGGATGGGCGGCTCCGGCCCGCTTTGCCTCGCTGCGTTCCGGTGCCGCGCTGCTGCGGGAGGAAAGAGCGAGAGCTCCAGAGCCCCGAGCAGAGCGCTGGGGAATGGGAGGAGAGGAAGGCTTGGGCTAAGGGTGGATTGAAACCGGAATGCCTGTTAGTGCGCAAAGAGACGTTTGTCATCCACGCTGCCAAAACGAACACCTGGTACACCCTAGGTCTGCCTTGTGCTTCATGTGTTTTTATTTCCTATTTAGGTCATCCCAAAAAGCAAGGACGGAGCAAATGGGACTGGCTCCCACTGTTGCTGTGTGAAGGCTTTTTACAAGCTGCTGTGTTCACGTAATCTTTTTTTCACTCCAAGCTTGGCTTTTCCCATCCTTTTCCCGTGGCTGCTGCATTGGGTGTCCCCAGGAGGGCTGGGTTCCTCAGCAGGGGTCTTAGGAGTTGCTATGAATTCTGTTTTTTTCTGAAGGTGTATGGAGGTGTGCTGTCGAATCAGCTCTTTTCCCTCCTGAAAAGCTGTCCAACTGTGACCACCCACGCGTCTGTGTGTTTTAATCACGTAGCCAGACGCACTAAAGTTTTTACTTTCTAAGCCAAACCTGAAGCAGATGACTGTTTGCTTTGTGTGTGTGAGAAGTGGCACTTGTGCTGGAGAGCTGCAGTGGGGAAGAAAAGATGGACTAAACATGCTCTGGGGATGGGCACAGAAGGAAACACTTGCACAGAAAGGCGAGGCAGTGACGATTCCGGAGGAAAAATGAAAGGTGGTTGCTTCCAATCCATGGGGACTTTCCTTTGGAATGATCGATCAGAGAGTGTATGGAAGCAGAGAGCATCTTCTGGCTATTTCTGCTCTGTAACCTTCTCTCTGGTGTCACGGGTCTGTGCTGGAGAGTGGGAGAACAGTCCCCACTTGTTGCCGTGTCCTCAGTGGGCAGAGAGCTCTGACCTCAGCCAGGTGGGCTGGTGAGTATTGAAACAATCACTGCCTCCTCATGAGCAAGTTGTTTGAAGGAGTCATCAGCAGGGATAGCTTTTAGCCAGCTTCAGTTCCATTTCTTTTTCAGTTTCTGTTTCTGGGTGTTTTGATCCTGACATCGCCAAACCCTTAAGTTTGCTGAATTAGGGCTCTTACCTGTATGGTCCATGAAATGTCCCGGAAGCTGATCGATTTCTTTGTGCTCCTGCTGCATTGATTTGGGCTGTGCTTCAGGCTTCTCTCCCTGGGCTCTTGCAGTTGCTGTATCTCTTGGATGCCATGCAGAACGGAATCAGGCAGCCCAGCCTCAGGTTCACCTTCTCCCTGACACTCTACGCTGCCCGTGTGGCAAAGCAAATCCTGAAGCCAGGTACTGGAACTTGCTGTGTGTGTCACTGCTGGGGTGAAAAACAGAGCCCTAGGGAGCGTTGCTCTCCTCACCTGCTCTGTGCTCGCGCACTCTTGACTGAGCCTTTCCTCCTGGGCAAGAGAAGGGGAGGGTGGGCAGCAATTGGAATGAGCTTCAGAGCAAAGGCCTTCTGTGGTTGCTGGGCTGTTCTCCCAGCTTGGAGCGCTGCACATTCACCACAGCTTCCACGAATTGTTGTCTGTGCTTGTGGATTGGGAGCATTCTCCTCCTCCACAATGCCAGCTTTTTCTCTTTACAGAGGAGCACATGTACATAAAGGTAAACAGATTCCTTCTGTCACACCAGTATTTGGACCTGAGGAAGGTACCAGGTTTTTTCCAGCTTTTCTACAGTTTTGATTTTGAGGTAAGAGTCCCATTTTAGGTATCCAGTAATTCTTCTGGAATGTATTAAAAACAGCCATAAAAATACAATGAAATCTCATTCTCCCACAGGTAGTTAATTAGATGCATCTTTCTTATGTTTCATATTGGAATTAAAAATGTTATTTCCGTGGGGTTTTTGTTGTTTTCTTAATACTAACGCACAATGAGTTGTGCTGTGTATGCTCTGTGAGCACAAGAAACAGAATATTCTGCCCTGGCTAGCCACAATTCCTATTTGACTTTAGATTAGTAACTTTGAGTTCAACTGAAGTATTTTAGAAACAGCAACTTCTAAAATTCCATTTCCACTGCATGTTCGGGCTGCCGACTGACTGTTCCCAATGGCTGTTAGTGATTAAATTTGATAGTAGTGGAAAGAGAGAGATCCAGAACAAGCTGTGGTAAGCCCTGAGCTGGCACTCAGAGGGAACCAGGGTTTTGTGCTCTTAGGAGCAGTTATTCTTTGGAAATGTCTATATGTCTGATAGTGGCATTTTTCCTTGTGGCTTCCAGTACAAAACAGAGCGTGAGTGGATCCTCAGATTTCTTGGGGAAGGGCTGCGTGACAAAAATTGCTATGAGCTTTATGACTACCAGAGGATTTTCCAGATCATTCTTTCCTTTTTCAACAGTCTTTTGTGTGACGAGGGCTCCCAGGTAAGAATTTGAAAAGAAAGTTCCAAAAAACCCCAAACCACAGAAGCTTGCATGGCTTTGAGATCTCAAGTACCAAACAGAAAGGAACAGCTGACTCTGCCTTGGTCCTCTTGAAAATCTGTTCCTTGTTGGTTTTGTTATAGATAAAAATTGATCCAGCCAAATTAAAAAAAATAATAATAAAAAAATTATTACAGCAATTGAATTCTATCTGAGACAGCCACAAAGAAAAGAACAGTACCAAGCCCGGGATCAGCACTGGGTGGGTCACAGGTTTGACTACTCCAGCAGAGAGTCTCTCTATGCCACACACCACCCTCTTGGCACAAGCAGTTTTTATAGGAAATATTCTGCCTGAGGCTGGGATTTTGGCAATCAGTCTTTTCTTCCCATTCAAAGTCCCACATATTCATAAAGTCCCTTTTCTCTGTGCTGGGGTGGAAGAATTCAGGGTCTGGTGGTGATTAATCTTCTTGATGGGGTTACAGGCTTTCAGATGTATCAGCCCAGACGATTTCAGTGATCCCATCTCAGGTCGAGCCACATGTATTAGGTTGCAAATGAGGTTTTGTCAGAAACCGGTTTTCAAATATGTGGGGGCAGCTCCCAATGCCGGCAACAATATCAAATGTTACACATATCACATTATACTGGCGTGAATTACATTTATTACATATAACAGTTTTGTGTATGTGTGGAGGGGGAAATAATTGCTTGTGTCTAAACCAGTCCCATCCTTATCTCCTGAAACTGGAACAGGTTCCTGCCATCATGGAGCCTCACATGGGTGCCACGGTTTTGCTCCTGCAGTCGGGGCCTTTTCTTTTTGGGGTCTCTATTCCCCAGCCAGCACATTTGTTACCTGAACAGTGCTTCAGCAGAGGGAAACTCACATGCCAGGAGCTCTCAGGTTTGGGAGCATCCACCCTGAGTATTTCAAGTATCAAAACCTTGGACAAAAAGAGAAAATTGTCTTGCTACCTGAATACTTCTTGTAAGAGCAGCGCCTGTAGTATGAAGCGTTGAAGGGAGAATGTCTTTCCTTCTCTGGAGTTCCTGAGAACAGGTGGTGTTCATTTTACCTGGAAGTTGATCAGATACCAGTCAAATTGCTGATTTTAAATTAGATAATTGGATCTTGGCTGTAAAAGAACAAGTTGCATTTTCTGTTTCAGAGTCGTATTCTGAAGATATTACGAAGTGCTGCCCGTGTCACTAGAGCTGCCTTTGAGCTCATACAGGATCACAGCCTCCCTAGGTCGGGAGGCGGTTGGGCCTGGATCAGGGAGGAGGCCATCAAGGATGGAGACCTTGAGCTGGCCAAGGACCTAGGGCCATTTGCGGCACCGGTAATTTTGAGGAGGCTAAGGTAACCCAGGTGGGAGAAACTTCCCTATGTGGAAGTGAAGGAGTTGAGGAAGGCGGCCAAAGACTACGGAAGGGACTCTTCATTTTTTAAGAATGTCTTAGATCTGACATTCTCGGGACACACTCTGGTCCAGCACGACTTGCGATATATTGCAAAGTCATTGCTTACCCCCACCGAGCTATTACTCTGGGAGATTCACTGGAAAAAATTGTTGAAGCCTCCTCTCAAAAAACATAATCTAACACAGGTGCTCGGTGAGGGGGAGGAAGGACTGGAGGCTTTGGCGGGGGAGGGCAACTTCAGCCGCCCAGAGGACCAAATACTGCTCCCTGTGGCCCTCCTGGACGACATCAGGGAGGCCGACCGGGTCGCACTTTTAAAAATACCGGATGGTAAAACCCCCCTCCAGAGCTTCTCATCCATAGTCTGAGGGCCAGAGGAAACATTTATTAAGTTTGTGGACAGGCTCAAAGACGCCATTGACCGGCAAATAGACAACCCAGCAGCACGGGAAGAGCTTCTCTGAAAGATGGCCATGACAAATGCGACATCTGAGACCAAGAAGATCTTGTGAGCCCTGCCTCAGGACCCGGAGCCCACCATCGCTCAGATGGTGGAGGCCTGCACCAAAGCCACCTCAATGGAAGCCGCTGTCGCCATGGCCGTGAGTAAGGGGATCGGGGAGGCCATGCTTAACATGAACACTGTTCACTGCTTTCGGTGTGGCTAGATGGGGCACATACAAGCCCGCATTGGCCCCCAGAGCGGCAGTACCATCCTTATGTTCCCCGTGCCGAGGCCGTACTCTAGGAACCCACAGCAGCAACACCAGCCGTCGGGAAACGGGCCGTGGAGCACAAGGAGGGGCCGCGCAATGACACCAAGTGGCCCCTCACAGCGCCCGAGCCTTCCTACCATCCATGAGGACCAGTGGCCCAGCGGTCAATTTCGGAGGATTGGCATAGCCATGAGGACGGACTCCGCCTCTTCCGAAGAACCGCAAATCTAGACCCAGACAACCGCCGGGTCCTCACGAGCACTATTGCAATCACATTTCCAGATGAGGACCTGGTGAGGGTTCCTATAGGGTTCCTGGAGCTCCCTTACTGCGACCACGACACCACTGTATTGATATTAGGCGACAGCAGGCACACCTCAAACGAGATCACAATCATTCCAGAGGTGGTTTGCTTCTAGCCAGGGTCCAAGGTAACGGTCTCCAATGTATGTCATGAGCCGCCTTTCACGCTGGACAAGGGGTTCCCCTTTCTGTTGGGAAGGGTAGATAAATATGATTAAGAACCACAATAGTACAGCCAGGACGAATATAACGCCCCCTACTGGCTGGACAATAACCCTCACCTACAGCGGGGTCCAAAAGCCAAATGGACTGTTCCATCTCACCCCCCAGAATCTATGGTTCACCCCACATCTGTAACCCTCCCCTGAACCATCAGGTGTCTGTGACCCCATTGGCCCAGGTCCTGTTCCAGCCCACCCTGGAGCCCCCCTTGATAAACGGTCTCCGGGGGGCTGGACGCCCTCTTGGATCTTCCCCTCTCCTCCTGGAGCATCCTCCGGGAGTCCCTGCTCCCCTCTTTGTCTCTCCCCTTCCCCATCACCTTAGGCCCAGCCACGTGCTGTGTCTAGCAGCTCAAGGCAGGGCCTTTCTGCGTCCCGAATAAACCTCATCCCCCAAGAGCAACCACAGAGATCTCGCTTGTATCTGTCCGTGGAATACAAATAAACGTCTTTACACCTTTCCATTGTTATACTTGCTGGACATCAGAGACTATATCAGAGAGGACGCTGAAGAAGACAAATATGTCTTCCTCACCCAAAACGTATGCCGCCAAAGACCGATGATTAAGATTGTGCTTTCTTTGCAGGGAAAATCAATTTCCATCAATCTAATGGCAGACACCGGTGCGGATGTGACCATCATTCCTAGGTCAAAATGGCCCCGCGACTGGGAGCTGGTGCCTCCTTGTGGCACAATCTCTGGAGTGGGAGGAGCTGTCAATTCCCTTCAAAGTAAACATCTCGTAAGTGTGGAGGGCCCTGAGGGACAAATTGCCACCATTCAGCCTTTTGTTGCTCCATCTAATATTATGCTATTAGGCAGGGACGTTTTGTCCCAGTGGGGTGCCTGACTCGACATCCCTAGCCCTGCGTGGGATTTTTAGTGTGGGCCACTATGAAGCACACCTCCCCACCACTGAACTGGAAAACTGACACTCCGGTGTGGGTGGACCAATGGTCCTTGACGGAGAAAAAATTGAACGTGCTCACCGAATTAGTGGAGGAGCAGGTGCGCCTGAGGCATTTAATACCCTCCACCAGCCCCTGGAACACACTTGTCTTTGTCATCAAAAAACCTGGCAAAGACAAGTGGTGCCTGCTCCAAGACCTACACAGAGTTAATGATGTTATTGAAGGCATGGGCCCCCTGCAGCCAGGCCTTCCCCCACCCTCCATGCTTCCCCGGGATTAGCAGCTCGCAGTCATCCATATCAAAGACTGCTTTTTCAATATCCCACTGTATCCTGGAGATGCTCCCAGATTCGCATTCTCCGTCCCCTCCATTAACCGGGCAAAGCCATACAAACGCCATCAGTGGACCACTTCGCCCCAGGGAATGAAAAATTCCCCAGTGCTCTGCCAAACATATGTGTCTCAAGTATTATCGCGCGTTCAAAAACTCTTCCCTGAGGTGGTGATCCTCCATTACATGGACAATGTCTTGATTTGCGCCGCGATGACTACCTACCTCAATGCAGCATTGGCAAATGCAGTCAAGGCCATCAAGTCTGCAGGATTCCAGATTGCCAAAGAAAAAATCCAGCTTTCCACGCTGTGGAAGTATTTGGGCTTCATCATCATGGGAAGGACCATCGCGTCCCAGTCACTTACCATCAAAGACAACCCACAGACCCTGCGGGATCTTCAACAGATCTGCGGCACCACCACATGGATCCGACCTCTCCTGGGACTCACCATGGAGGAGCTGGCACCGCTCTTCAACCTACTGTGAGGAGACGGTGACCTGGCTTCTCTGTGCGAGCTGACGCCTGCCGCGTGTGGAGCCCTGGAGAGAGTCGCAGAGGCCATGAGATCCTGTCAGGCGCACTGTGTGGACTGGTCTCTTCCCATCACTCTTGCCATCCTGGGTAAGTGCCCAAACTTCCATGGCCTGTTATTCCAGTGGGATGCTGGTCGGAAGGACCCACTCATCATCATCAAGTGGCTGTTCCTTTCGCACCAGCCGGCAAAAACTGTGTCTACCCCCGCAGAGCTGATGGCCAAACTTATCATAAAAGCACGACAACGCCTCTGGACCCTCGCAGGGTTTGATCCGGCGTGCATTAACCTCCCTCTAAATTTAGAACAATTGGAGTCTTTGTTACAAACAAATTAAAATTTACAAATATCATTAGGCAGCTATCCCAGACAGATTTCAATCCACTATCCTAAACATAAGTTGTTCAAGGATACGCTCTATTTGGCCCCTAAATCTTTTAAAAGTAAAACACCCATCAAAGATGCTCTCACAGTGTTCACTGATGGGTCAGGAAAGTCCCACAAATCAGTGATCACGTGGAAGGACCCAGATAGTCAGAAGTGGGAGTCTGACATCCAGCTAGTTGACGGTTCCCTCCAGATCGCAGAACTTGCTGAGGTTGTGAGAACGTTTAAGAAATTCTGGAAACCATTCAATCTGGTGACTGATTCGGCTTTTGTTGC